GGCCACGCTGCACAGTCACGGGCGGCTGTCCCCGCGCAGCGCCCGGGCCCGGGTGACCGTCGAGTGGCTGCGCGTCCGCGACGACGGCTCCAACCGCACTTCTCTCATCGACTCCAGGTGGGGATCGCGCGGGCGCGCAGGGCAGGGGGAGGGGGCTGTTGGGCCTGGTTTGGGGGCGGGGACGCGGGGGGCGGAGCGGGGTCCTCCGGGCCCGTCCCAGTCCCCGCCCTCACGCGGCGCTGGGTCTCCGTGTCGTGTCTCAGGCTGGTGTCCGTCCACGAGAGCGGCTGGAAGGTCTTCGACGTGACCGAGGCCGTGAACTTCTGGCAGCAGCTGAGCCGGCCCCGGCAGCCGCTGCTGCTACAGGTGTCGGTGCAGAGGGAGCATCCGGGCCCACTGGCGTCCGGCACCCACAAGCTGGTCCGCTTTGCCTCGCAGGGGGCGCCGGCCGGGCTTGGGGAGCCCCAGCTGGAGCTGCACACCCTGGACCTCGGAGACTACGGGTAGGTGCTGAGGGTTAAACTGGTGAGTCGGAATAAAGAGACAGAGAGGCAATTAAATTTGTTTTGAAATGGACAACTTTTCGGAGTGCTCTGGGAATGAATGAGACAACGTATACAATTCTTCCTCTGACTCTTAGGAGGTCCTCAGTAAATATCAGTTATTAATTTTCAAGTTATTTGTAGCTGTCTATCCTATATCACAAACATACAGCTTTTTGAAGTTGAGAGATGGATCATAAATCTCCATCCCAGATGCCCTCTGACCTCAGCCTTCCCAGCTGACTGCTGACCCTGCTCTCTTTGCCCACATAGAGCTCAGGGCGACTGTGACCCTGAAGCACCAGTGACCGAGGGCACCCGTTGCTGCCGCCAGGAGATGTACATTGACCTGCAGGGGATGAAGTGGGCCGATAACTGGGTGCTGGAGCCCCCGGGGTTCCTGGCTTATGAGTGTGTGGGCACCTGCCAGCAGCCCCCGGAGGCCCTGCCCTTCAAGTGGCCGTTTCTGGGGCCACGACAGTGCATCGCCTCGGAGACTGCCTCACTGCCCATGATCGTCAGCATCAAGGAGGGAGGCAGGACCAGGCCCCAGGTGGTCAGCCTGCCCAACATGAGGGTGCAGAAGTGCAGCTGTGCCTCAGATGGGGCACTCGTGCCAAGGGGACTCCAGCCATAGGCGCCTGGTGTAGCCACCGAGGGACTTGACTTGTGTGTGTTTCTGAAGTGTTCTGGCGTACCAGGAGAGCTGGCGATGACTGAACTGCTGATGGACAAATGCTCTGTGCTCTCTAGTGAGCCCTGAATTTGCTTCCCTTGACAAGTTACCTCACCTAGTTTGTGCTTCTCAGGAATGAGAGTCCTTGGCCACTGGGGAGCCCTTGCTCAGTTTTCTCTATTATTATTCGCTGCACTATATTCTAAGCACTTACATGTGGAGATACTGTAACTTGAGGGCAGAAACCCCAATGTGTCATTGTTTACTTGTCCTGTCACTGGATCTGGGCTAAACTCCTCCACCACTATGGACCTAAGACCTGGGGTTAAGTGTAGGTTGTGCAACCCCAATTCAGATAATAAAGACTTTGTAAAACATGAATAAAACACATTTTATTCTGTAATTTTGTAATTTTCTATTTTATTTTAATTAATTATTTTTGAGACGGAGTCTTGCTCTGTCACCCAGGCTGGAGTGCAGTGGCCGAATCTCAACTCACTGCAGCCTCCGCCTTCCAGGTTCAAGCGATTCTCATGCCTCAGCATCTTGAATAACTGGGATTGCAGGCATGTGCCACCATGCCAGGCTAATTTTTTGTATTTTTAGTAGAGATGGGGTTTTGCCATGTTGCCCACACTTGTCTGGAACTCCTGACCTCAAGTCATTCAGCAGCCTCAGCCTCCCAAAGTGCTGGGATTACAGGCATGAGCTACTGTGCCCGGCTGTAATTTTCCATTTTAATCAAAGCTCTGCAAATTGAGGAAGGAGCAGAAAGTTCTACAGAGGTTAGGTCAACCTAATTGTAAACTAAGGAAAGAGCTTGAGTTGGCCAAGACTTGGTAAAGATCTTGGTTAAGTAATACAGGAAACTAGGATTAAAATGCTTTCAGGGCCAGCACCATGGCTCACTCCTGTAATCGCAGCACTTTGGGAGGCCGAGGTGGGCGGATCACTTGAGGCCAGGAGTTCAAGACCAGCCTGGCCAACATGGCGAGACTGCGTTTCTACTAAAAATACAAAAATTAGCTGGGCATGGTGGTGTGCGCTTGTAATTCCAGCTGCTCGGGAAGTTGAGGCATGAGAATCACTTAAACCCAGGAGGCGGAAGTTGCAGTGAGCTGAGATCACACCACTGCACTCCAGCCTGGGCAACAGAGCAAGATTCTGTCTCAAAAATAAAATAAAATAAAATAAAAGTAAAATACATTCTGATTCTAGTATCTGTGGTGCCTGTCCTCTCAGAATTGATACAGAAATCTTTCTGGTTTTGACACTTTGACTTTCCTGGGCGTAGTGATTGGGCTTTATTTCAATCCTACTTGCATCATAATCAAACCTGTGATCAAAATAATCATCTATACTTAGAGAAGAAAATAAAGCTCCAGAGGATCTGGAATTTATAGCTATAAGAGCTGTGCAACTGGGCGCGGTGGCTCACGTTTGCAATCCTGAGGATCACCTGAGGTTGAGTTTGAGACCAGCCTGACCAACATGGAGAAACCCCGTCTCTACTAAAAGTATAAAATTAGCCGGGTATGGTGGCACATGCCTGTAATCCCAGCTACTCGGGAGGCTGAGGCAGGAGAATCACTTGAAGCCAGGAAGTGGAGGTTGCAGTGAGCCGAGATCACACCACTGCACTACAGCCTGAGCGACAGAGCGAGACTCTGTCTCAATAAGTAAATAAATTAATTAATTAAAAATTAAAAAATAAAACAGAGATTTTACAAACACTTCACACAACTGACATAACAAAGGTTGTGGCTATCTCAACTCACATTCCGATCCATCAAGGCCGTCTCTTGATTTTGAAATAACCTTAACCTACTCAAGAACAAATTTAGAAATCCTTTCTTTCTCTGAAATCTTTGTCAGTGGCTCCAGCATTCTAATTACCAAGACCGGAACCTTGCACTTGCCTGGACCCTGCCCCAGTGAATGGTGCCCCCACAGACCAGACATGTGGGGGCACCATTCATTGAGGCAGGGAAGGGAGGAGGACAGGCAGGTGCGGGAGTGGGGAGTGGGGAGTGGAAAGAAGATTGGACAGGGACAGTCTCAGGAGCCAACGAGGAGTCCAGGGGCCACACCCAGGACTCTGCAGATGGTCAGATGTGGAGATAAGAGAGTGGGGAGGGGGGATGGCCAGGCCCAGCTTTGGAGGGACAAGGGCAGAGATCATACTGGGTGGGGGTGGGCACAGAGGAAAAACCCTGGGAAATAACTAGTGGATAGAGGTTTGGGGAGAGAAGGGGAAGCCACATGGGACAGAAAAGAACTGAGAGAGGCAGGAAGAGACCCTCCCCACCCGACCCCTGGACAGCCACAGACTGGCGCTAGAATCAGGGACAAGGAGGTAAGGAGGAATTTTTTTTTTTTTTTTTTGGAGACGGAGTTTCACTCTTGTTGCCCAGGCTGGAGTTCAATGGCGCGATCTCGGGTCACTGTACCTCCGCCTCCCAGGTTCAAGCGATTCTCCTGCCTCAGCCTCCCTAGTAGCTGGGATTACAGGCATGTGCCACCACGCCTGGCTAATTTTGTATTTTTAGTAGAGACGGGGTTTCTCCACGCTGGTCAGGGTGGTCTCAAACTCCCGACCTCAGGTGATCCGCCTGCCTCGGCCTCCCAAAGTGCTGGTATTACAGTCATGAGCCACGGCGCCCGGCCATAAGAAGGATATTTTTATACCGTTACAGAAAAAGATGAAAGCTCAGAAATGGAAGAGGTCGGAGAACCCGCAAAGCCGTGCACGTGGGGTGAGGACTGCTCAGAACTCAGAGAGGTTTGGTGCTAGAAAGGACCTGAGAGGAAGCTTTGGTCCAACCACTCGTTTCACAGATAGGGAAACAGGGGCCTGCGGATGGGGTGGTTTGCTCCTTGATTCCAGGGCGCGCGGTCCTCCCCGAACCCAGTCTCGCTTCCTGCGCAGCGCCCAGCAGTCCCTGGCGCGGTGGGCCGGCCCTGCTCTTGCGAGCTTGCGGTCCAGTTGTAGAGGCCACCGGCTTCCTGGAAACATCTGGCTCCGGACCGGGAGGCATGCCGCGCTCTCGGAGCTGGGCTGGAGTAGGTGCCCTTGGCGGCCCTGGCTCGGGCAGTAATGGACTTGGCCCTAGGGAGCGTTGGAAATGCTGCGACCCGCCCCCACATTTTTGCCCGAACGAAGACCCTCCGGGCTTTCACGGTCCGGCCTTCTACACCGGCGGGGGAGCCGCGGCCTCTCGCAGGGCGCTCCGCGCGGTCCCCGACTGCCCGGAGCCGAGGTGCAGGCTGAATCCTGTTGAGCTCCCCATGCTACCACCCCGCCACCTCCACCCTCCCGGGGCGGGTCTAAGAGCTCTTCGGGGAAATTCAAAGCACCAGAGGGACCAACGTTTGCAGATGCTCTCCCTGAGCTGCGACCACCCTGTGCTTGGCCCAGGTCTCCCGGAGGCGTCCAGGCGTGCAGGGGGACGGAAGAGGGTGCGCCCCAACGAATCCCTTCTCGGCCTCTGGACTTGAGCTGGCCGGTCCGGGGCTTGCAGACCTCCGGGAGGACCTGCGGGGCTAAGCGACGATCAGGAGGCCAGGCCAGGGCAGAGGACCGCCGAGGGCCACCGCGGAAGGCGCAGTCGGCTGCGTCCAGGCTCGCGCCGGCGCGGGCGAAGGCTCCAAATTGGGCAAGCTGTGGACGCAGCTCTGCGCATGTGCAGGAGGCGCCGGAGTTTCACTTTGTAACTTTTAAGTGGTCGGAACACGCCCCGCCTGGCTGGGTCCCGCCAGACACGCCGCCGCCGCAGGTACAGGGGACAGGGGACGTGAAGTGGGGGAATGCGCCCTACGCCTTTCTCGGGACGTGCGGGGCCGGGTCCACGTCGGGGTGCTCCCCAAGTGTCCGGTTCCGGAACGGCTCCCAGCCTCCGCAGACACCAAAGCCCCCGACCCCAAGCAGGGGTTGATGACGCCGGATTGGGTGGGAGGAGAGGGTCAGCGCAGGGGTCGCCGCGCCCCCATTCCAGCCCTGCGTTCCTCGGGACTTCCTGGCAGCTTTTCACGACTTCCCTCTCCGAGGCTCCGGCTTTTCGCTTTCAGGGCTGGTACCTCCTTCCCCATCCCTCTCTTTGGGATTTGTCGGCGGAATCCGACCTCTCACCTAACTAGGAGCGCAGCTCTGGGCTCCTCCGACCCTAGACGAGGCCGGGCGGGGAAAGGGCCAGACGTCCGAGTCTCCTGACGCCAGGAAGGCAGAGGCCACCCTCGGGCTGCCCCTGGGTGACCACTTCCTGCAGCCTTGGCGGAGTCCTGAGGACGGAGGCTGGGGACTTGGGAACTTGGGGGGAAGGGCGGGGGCGGGACAGGTGAGGCGAGCTCTGCTAAGAAACCAAATCCGCAAAGGTTCCAGCACCTGATAAGAATAGCTGCCTGAGGCCCTGGAGGGGCCTTGGTCATTCAGCCCCAGGCAGGTGGTGTCCTCTTCAAGGGCAGGGGTGGACAGCGTGGTGGACCCCCTGACCACCCCCCCCCTACACACACACCTGTCAGGTCATCCTCAAGTCTGCTGTGCCTTCAGGGGGATATGAACGGAAGCTTCCGAGGCTCCTTTTCCCTTCACACACCCCCTTCCTTTGTTTAGTATAGGGGCAAAGGTCTCTCCTAGCTGTTCATTGGGCTCTAACAGAGAAGACGTCAGGTGGGGTCCTGCCCTTGTGTTTCCCATTAGCTGGAGGGGTGACTTAAAATAAAGGCAAACAGCTTCTAATTGCTTGCTAGGGCCGGTCCTGGGCTAAGTGCTTTACAGGTGTTGTTTGGGGTCTGTGCCTCCCAACAGCCCCGTGAGAGAAAGTGATCACTCACATTTCCGGGCCATGGAAGCCAAGGCACGGAGTGGTTAGGCTGCTTGTCTGAACTGCGTGGTGCTGAGACCCTAACTCCAGCGTCTGCTCACATAATCCCTGAGCCACACTGCCTCTCGTTTCAGCCAGGGGCTGTGTCATTTCGTTTGTGCTCCAGGGTAGAGGTAAACAGTTGTCCGGGTTACTAGGTCCTGTTTGGTGTTGCCATAAGGAGAAGTTTGTACTTTACTCTGCAACCTTATTCTGCATCTGAAAGACCAGAGTTAGCTCCTGAGGCAGAAGGCTGGAGCAGCTTGTAGTTTTGCTGTGGTCATCACAGGATTGAAAGATTTGGTGATGATAAAATTACCCTGAATTTGTACGGGCCTTCTTGCAAGAACCAACAATATCCATATACTTCCTGCAACATTGTGCTGGCATTTCTAGAGCTTATCAAGTTGGTCACCAGGCCAATCTTTGCTGCCAATGGAGACTGGGCAGTGGGTTAGCATAGGTGGTTTACTTTGGCAAGTTCAGACAGCTGTTGGATTTAGCCATCTCCCACTGGCCACAATCGGATGCTTGCATGCACATGGGTTGAACTTTGGGTTGGGAGCATGAAGTCACCTGCTGCCCACTCTGGCTCTTGGGCCTCAGCAGTAATTCTTGGCTTTCCTACCCTCAGCATATTGAGTGGGAATAAGGGGATGAATGGAGAATTTCTGGAAGGCACAGATAAGTGCTAGGCGTTCACATACATCTAGGATGACTGAATATTGCCTGGGGTTCTCAGCCAGGCGGTGCCACTGCAACCACAGTGCCTAGCTGCTGGTTTGGCCTCCTCCATATAGCTGCCAGCTGGGTGCTCCCCTCCCCCTGCCTTCTCCTCAGTCTGGCAGCGCTGCTTCATGGTGTCTGTGTTCTCAGCTGCCCGTGCACAACGTGCCTGTTTGTGAAGATGCAGAGGAGCTGTCCTGTTGAGAGCCAGAGGGATGGAGCTGTTTCAGTGGGATCTGGACTTTACCTGTCTAATGGGCAGGCACAGGCTGGGACTGAGCTGAAGGGTCTGAGAGAGACTGTGGATCCCCAGAGCTATGCCCTAACCTGGGTGCTCATCGGAGAGGGCAGACATGACTGGCCACCTGAACTTACCTCCATCTCAGGCTCATAGTATTTGCTAGCCACCTCCCTGAGTTCTTATCAGACTTTGTCAAACCACCCTGGGAAGCCTATTGGGCAAGAGACAAGTGACTTAGAGGCATAACTGGGGCGGGAGGGGGAAGAGAAGCCACAGGTATTTCCCTTCGTGGAGGCCTCTCTCCTTCTCTGCAGTCCTGGCGAGGGTTTGCCACTCCCAGCACCACCACAGCACCCTCCCCTTTCCAGGGACAATGCTCCCTCTGTGAGCATTTTATGGGATGTTTTTTCTTTCCACTTCACTTCTCAAGCCTTCCTTGTTCATGCTGCTGTGTTCCTTTTTCCTAATTCTAGCTCTTGGGGAACCTTGGGGAACCTTGGGGAGCCTCCCCAGTAGCACTAGCCCTTGGGGCCTAGGTGAAGTCCTTTGCTTGGGGTCCTACCATGAGCCCACAGCCTCCAGGGCTTCTGTGGGAGAGGGCCGCTCCCCTAACCCCAGCAGGTCCCTGAGTTATTGGTGAAGAGGAGAGAGGCTGGGTCCACAGGTGGTGCTGGCTGAGGAAGGAGGAGTAGAGTCGCACAGAGGAGCACTGACGGATGGAGAACCAGTTCTGGGAGTTTGGGGAGAGATCCAGGCAGGAGGGAGCCCACTGGGCAGAACGTAAAGCTCTGTATGGGCAGCATGCATACACGGGTGTGTGCTGGAGGGTTTCCATCCAGACCCCTACGCTGGAAAAGGGTGGCTCCCATGTGATGCTGGGTGTCTGTGATCCTTCAGGAAAGTCTGCAGGCTGGTACCCCAGGACTTGCTGGTCAGGAAAGCCCTGCAGGAAATGAGTGTTAGTTCTGAGGCCTGGCCCTTCGCAGCTTGGGAGGTACCGGGGCTGCTTTTGCCTTTGCCAGAGACAGCTCCAACTGAGGACCTCCCCAATGGGTCCATCCACAGTCCTTCCTTCCCCTAGCACCTGGTAAGTGTGGGGACAGGAAGAAGGAGGGGTAGGTGGTGGCCTCAAAGTGTTGGGCCGGGGTGTTCCATTGGGTGGTACCACTGGGTGGGGTTTAAAGGGAAGCCAAGAACATCTGTGTTCCAGAGGTCACTCTTGTGAGTGTGTTCAGAGCCAGCAGCCCCATGACTCTGGCATCACAACCCCCACTACCTCCAGCCATTGCCAAGTCTCTTAGAAGGTTGAGAAAGTGACTTGGCTCTCAGGGGGATGCTCCCATGCTCTTGGACTTTCCACTTATTCACCCTTCCTGTACTTCCTGTCGTGTGTGTGTGTGTGTGTGTGTGTGTATGTAGGTGTCCATGTGTGATTGTTCCCAGCACTGCAGGCCTAGGGGTTACCCAACATACCCCACCAGCACTACTGGTATCCAAACATCTGTTTGGGTTCTCTATATCTTTTCTTCTTGTTCTCAAGAGCTTTGTCCCTATAACAGCTAGAAGCACCAGACTTAGCAGAAATCCCCTGGGAATTCTAGATTTACCAGATTTGGGCAGATGGGATCTTAAGCAAGTCCAGGTTGAACATGTGTTCTGGCCCTTCAGCCACAGTGTGAGAACTTGGACACTAACTCCCGGGCCTCAGGTGTCAGGGGACAGATACTGGAGATTTCTATTAGCTTCACCAGGGGCACCAGGAGCCTCAGGAAGGAAAGGTCAACAACCCAGCCTGGAGCAGTGTTTGCTTTGGAAATGCTGGGCCTTGCAGTTAGACTGATGGTACCCAGGAGGGGTATGTGTGAAAGGGCAGAGCTGGGGGACCCAGAGGTCCCTGAGAAGGCCTTGGAACTCCTGACTCCCTCCCCCTCCCTACCCTAGACCACCCCTTTGCTTTCTCCTCTGTGGCAAAGTAAAAAGAGAACTGGCATCTGAGAGTCAAGACACTGGGTTTGGGATTCAATTCTGCCCTGACCAGCTCCTTAACCTTAACCTTGGGGCAAGTTATTAAACCTCTGAGGCTTGGTTTCCAAGTATAACAGATGGACCCATCTCTGAGGTCCCAGCTCTGACATTCTGTGAGCAGTGGGAGTGAGGTGTTGTCTGTGGTTCGTGGATGGACCATCATAAATACTTGGATGTTCCCTTCTTCCCTGTTTATCCCTGTGTTTTCCTCTTCTTGCCTTTGTGTGCCTTTCTCCCTCTCCCCTGCCTGTACTGCAGATCTGCCAGTGGCTTCTGCAGGAGTGACTTTCCCAACATGAATCCTGGAGGCTAGAGGAGCTTTAGGACTTCTTAAGCCAGCAGCTGCAGCAACTCTGTCCCTCCCTTACTCCATGTCACCCCCTCTGGGGATCTGCCCACTGTGTCCTGGATAAGCCATCCACTCTAACCATCTGATCCCCCAAGATTGTCCCATAATGGAGCCATTCTCTGTGGACACCGCCAGGCACTCAGAGGCCCAATGTCTGGCTCTCCTGGACTCTTTGCTGCTGGCTCCCTGTGCCCGACCAGTCCCTGGGGAAATGCCCACCTTTGGTTCTGCCAGCACTGGTGGGAACCTGCAAGAAATTTGAGCGCTGAACATCTGTCTGCCTTGTTCTGTTGTCCTGTGCTCCAGGGAAGACAGGCACGATGGCGGACTCCCCATTCCTGGAGCTGTGGCAGTCCAAGGCCGTGTCCATCAGGGAGCAGCTGGGCCTCGGGGACCAGCCCAATGACTCCTATTGCTACAACTCGGCCAAAAACAGCACCGTGCTCCAGGGAGTCACCTTTGGTGGCATCCCCACTGTCCTGCTCATAGACGTCAGCTGCTTCCTGGTGAGAGCCCTCACGAGTCGTGTCCTACTGCCTCAGTTATTTGTTTAAATCCCCCGCCCAGGGCCTTCTGGGAAACTTAGATGAGAAGTCAGACGTAGCTGGGTTTAAATCCCTACTCTGCTGCTTACCAGCTCTGTGACTTGGGCATGTTACATAGCTTCTGTGCACCTCCCCTTTCTGCTCTGGAAATGGAGATCATAATTCCTGCCTCAGAGAATTTTGGAGATTGGATAAGGCCAAAATACTCACATAGCTACGCCTGTGATTATTACCATGATTGCAGAGCTCTCTGCCTGTCATGTCTTTAAGGCCCTTGGGAAGGGTCATCTCAAGGGGTTGAGAAATGTGAATGGAGAGTACTGACTAGAATAGAGCAACTGCAATTCCCAAGTGTCACCTCCTGTTCCCCTCTGGCATCCCTGGGGTTTTTAAAGAATCAGAAGCTGGGCTGGGTATGGTGGCTTATGCCTGTAATCCCAGCACTTTGGGAGGCTAAGGCGAGTAGGTCGCCTGAGGTCAGGAGTTCGAGACCGGCCTGGCTAACATGGTGAAACCCTGTCTCTACTAAAAATACAAAAAATTACCTGAGTGTGGTGGCGCATGCCTGTAATCCCAGCTACTCTGGAGGCTGAGGCAGGAGAATTTCTTGAACCTGGGAGGCGGAGTTGCAATGAGCCAAGATCGTGCCACTGCACTCCAGCCTGGGCAACAACAGCGAGACGCTGTCTCAAAAAAAAAAAAAAAAAAAAAAAAGAATCAAAAGCTGATTCTCAGAGCGTGCCTTCAGCAGGTGGCCTTTCTTTAACGTAGATCTCCTTGTTTACAAGGATGCCTCCAATTTGAAACATGTCATTGTTCTTCCTTATGCAGACTCAACGTTAGCTGGCTGAGATTTATTGGGGTTAAAGTGCCTCTTCTTTTCACAAATGCCATGGGCTGGCCAGTGCCTCATGATGCTGTCTCCTAACATGTAGCAGAGACCATCTGAATGAAGGGGGCAGATGGCTCTGATGGAGTAAACACCCTTGGACTGCTTGGAGCTGGAGACTAGGCTTGGGTGGGGAATGTGGGGAGGGTGGCTTAGGGTAGCAGGGAGGAGTGGACAGCGGTGTTGGGGTGGATTTCAGAGTTGGTGGGATTAGAGGAGGGTGGCCCTGGGTCTTCAGGGTGGGGAGAGTTTGGCCAAGGTGAGGAGTAAAGAGAGGGGGGCCTGGGCAGGGACCCTAGGTGGGCTGGGTGGGTATTGTTACAACAGTGTTGGTTGAGAAGAGAGTCACCCTCTACTGGAGTGTGCTGCTGAAGGTGAATTTTTTTTTTTTTGAGACAAGGTCTCACTCTGTCACCCAGGCTGAAGTACAGTGGCATAATCACAGTTCACTGCGACTTCCTCCTCCTGGGCTCAAGCAATCCTCCCACCTCAGCCTCCTGCATAGCTTGGACTACAAGCACATGCCACCACGTCGGGCTAATTTTTGCATTTTTGGTAGAGATGGGGTTTCACACCATGTTGCCTAGGCTGGTCTCAAACTCCTGAGCTCAAGTGATTCACCAGCCTTGGCCTCCCAAAGTGCTGGGATTACAGGAGTGAGCCACAGTGCCTGGCCAGGGGTGGGTTTTTATTGCAGTAAGTTTTGGGGGTGGGGGAGCAGGGACACATAAGAGCCAGAGGGCCCTGGAGAGCATGGGTTTGTGGGAAACATCTGCACTGCACAGGCCAGGGCAGCAGCTGCTGTGGACAGGGAGGGCAGGCACCTGCTGAGCAGGTTTTGTGGTTTTCCTACAACACAACTCACCTGCCTTTGAAAATATGTCACCAACTTCCTGATTCACCTGAAGAAAATTCCATGAGAACTCAGTGCCTCTGGGGTTCAGGTCTTCTGGATTTCCTTTAGGAAAACAAAGCCCCCCTTCAAAACCCCTGTTTCTGATCAGAGCAGGCAGGGATGTGCTTGCTAAGATTTATTTCTCTACCTCCCTGAACCTCAAAGAGAGGGACCCTGTCTAGGGAGGGAAGAGAGGCAGGAACATGGCAGGGAGCCTGCCAAGGTGGACTGTGGGGAGGGAGGACAGTCTAGAGTGTACAGATGTCTAGAGCTAACCGGCTTAGTCCAGCCCTGAGGTTGCCGTTGGACACAAGCTTGCTGAGGTGTCCCAGCTTACGGAGGCCGAGCCAGCCCGAGCACAGGTTCTTGTGGGGCCTTGCTGCCTGCATGCATGCTCTGTGCCTGCGGGGCCTGCCTTCAGGGGAACCAAACTCAGAGGAAAAATCTGACCATTTCTGGCTCAGCCTGAGGAGGCTGTGCTACCTTGGTTCTGTAACTTAAAATGAAATTTCTGGCCAGCGTGGTGGCTCACGCCTGTAATCCCAGCCCTTTGGGAGGCTGAGGCAGGTGGATCACCTGAGGTCAGGAGTTCGAGACCAGCCTGACCAATATGGTGAAACCCTGTCTCTACTAAAATACAAAAATTAGCCGGGCATGGTGGCAGGCATCTGTAGTCCCAGCTGCTCTGGAGGCTGAGGCATGAGAATTGCTTGAACCAGGGAGGCGGAGGTTGCAGTGAGCCAAGATCATGCCATTGCGCTCTAGCCTGGGTGACAGAGCGAGACTCCATCTCAAAAAAAGAAAAAAGAAATTTTCTGTAAAGTGAAGAAGGACACTGGTTCCTGGGACTGCTGTGAGGCCAGACCTTACCCTTCTGCTTAGGGGCCACTGAAGGCAGATCAGGGCCTGAGACTGGGTCCTTGTAGTGTCACTGCTGCCTTGAGAGCAAGAGACAGGGCTGACGTGCATAACTATGCAGGATCCAGGCAAGCTTGGCATCAGCGCTGGCAGCCTTGGTGGCGTGGGCACAGGTGACAGGAGCTGGTGAAAGGGGTGAGCAAAGCATCCAGGCTACTGAGCTGTGTGGCCTTGGGCAGCTCAGTGCCTTCTCTGGGCCTGTGTGTTTTCCTTCTAGCCCTACTGAGTGCGGGCAGGTGGGTTTTACCCCTGAGACCGCTGTGTCTTCTAATGAGAAGCCATCCAATATGCTTTCACTTGGTTTATTTTCTATTTTTAGTTCTTAATCTTGGTGTTTTCCATTATAAGAAGAAGATTCTGGGACTTTGGCCGCATTGCTCTGGTGTCAGAAGCAGACAGGTAAAGACATATCACCTAGGCTATGAGCATGCATGTGCGTATGTGTATATGAGTGTGTGTGTACATATATGTGTGTATAGTGTGGGTGTGTCCCTGGAATTGGCTGGGGGCTTATGAAGCCCTCCGTGTGGGCAGGACCCACACGTGACACTGCTATTAGATTGTGTTCACTGAGTGTATCTACCTGGCCTGTACCAATAGCTATTCTCTTTGCTCTTCACCACAGACCCATGAGGTCAGCCTCACTACCCTCATTGTGCTCACAAAACCAAAACAAAAACCAAAACCCAGGCTTAGATGCTCAGCTCCCTCAGGGCTTCTGTTGGGCCAAGGCTGTGAACCTTGTTGGCCTCGAACAGGTTGCTTTAGATACTGAGGGCTTTCATCATCCTCTGAAGAGGATGCCCATTTTCTTTCTCACCTTGAGTGTTTTAAGTGATTATCTTTGAAATTAATTAGCTTGGGGCCAGGGCTGGGTGAGGATCAAGAAGGGCAGCAGAGCCGTCAGGGAACTGTCCCACCCTCCTGCCAGGTCAGTGCCGGCTTTGGATAAGTCTGTTACAAAGCACAGGCTCCCTCGGCCGGGCCTCAGGTCCTTCTAGTTCTGCGTGAGGCTCTAGGATTCTCTGTTCATGTCGCCTAAAGGGTGACAGTGAATTCTGGATCTGCACAACCTGACGTTCCAGCTCCAGCTGGCTGTTTGCACCCAGGATCTTATGTCAGATGTGGCAATAGGAAGTGAGTGATGAAAACTCAGGCACTGGCCCCAGCTGCCACCCAGAGCCTCCCCTGGGGCTCTTCAGGCAGACCCTCCACTCTCGGGCCCCTCCTGACATGTGGCGTGAGTGGCAGGGTCCTTTGAACTGGGAAAAGGAGAGGTGTAGCTGAAAATGCACCATCCTTTCCCATGATCTCTGCTCTGGGATTTGCTAAAGCCTGAGGTGATGACCTTGGACTGTTGGGGAGAAACTTTTGGGACATCTGATGCCTTTACAGCACATTCAGCTAGAAGTGGGGGCTGTGCACTCTGGTTGAAAAGACCACTTGGGGATCAGAGGGCCCTGCTGCATCCCTGGCTGTGCAACCTCGGTCAAGGCCCCAAACTTATTAGGGTCGGTCTCCTTCTGTCGTCGCTTCCCCATGAGGTCACCATGAAGGTCAAAAGGGAAGGTCTCTGCAAAGGCTTTTAAAGTTAAGTTTCGTCATGTGTTTTGTCTTTAGCAGGGGGACAGTAGAACCAGGAATAGGAGACTAGAGAAAAGGAGTCACGGCCAGGCATGTTGGCTCACAGCTATAATCCTAGCACTTTGGGAGGCTGAAGCGGGTGGATCATGAGGTCAGGAGTTCAAGACCGGCCTGGCCAAGATGATGAAACCCTGTCTCTATTAAAAATACAAAAATTAGCTGGGCATGGTGGCGGGTGCCTGTAAGCCCAATTACTCAGGAGGCTGAGGCAGAGAATTGCTTGAACCCGGGAGGCAGAGGTCACAATGAGCCAAGATTGTACCACTGCACTTCCAGCCTGGGTGACAGAGCAAGACTCCATCTCAAAAAAAAAAAAAAAAAAAAGAAAAGAAAAGAAAAGCAGTCACATATTGTAAACACCTCAGATTTATAGCACATGGGGTATTTTTATGGGAGTACTTGCAAGAAAGGATTTGATTACAATGCCACAATATAAAGTGCCATCATTTGTCCACTCTAAAACATATGTTTTGATATTTTCTCATCTCCAGAATTGGGAGGCATCTTGTGATTGGTGGCTGGTCATAGGTTATTTGGCAGCATTTTTTCTTTAACAGTTCATAAAATAATTATGCAGATTACAACCAGTGGTATCTTGGATTTGATAAAATGTAGTATTTATTCCAAATTTTATTTGATAATATTGGGAAATATGCTATAAATCGGCAACCCTTTGAAGTCACTTTAGCTAGACCAGTCACAATGATATGGTTTCTGGGTGTTGACCCCTTGCTGTTCATCCCGTATAACGTAGAGTTTTATACCATGCCTGGGAATGGTCATTGTCCTTGTCTCTGTCTTTCACAGAGTGAGTTATATTTTGTCTCAGCCATTGAGGGCTGGTAGCTTTGGTTCTGAGTTCCAAGAGGCAGCAAAATACTGGACATGATCTTTTTGACTCTTTGATTTCTTTTTTTTTAAGGAATTATCTGGCATTGTTTTTCTTTTTTGTGTCTCTAGCGAGTCCAGATTTCAGAGATTGTCATCGACTTCCTCCTCAGGGCAACAAGACTTTGAAAATGAGCTGGTTGGTATCTAAGGAACAGTTGTGGTCATGGCCAGGCGTTGGGGACTGGCAGTCATGGTTTTGGGGAGGGAGCAGGGTGGAGCTTGAGTGCCAAGTGCTGGAGAAAGTGCTTTTCTGCATTAACGAAGGCACCTGAACTTGGGAAGTACCACAGGAGAGATGGCAGCTGGATGACCGGGGATCTTGAGACTGGATGAACTTGCAGGCGGAAAGGGCTACGGAATCCCTTGGGCTTCCCCAGCACTTCTCTCTCTTACATGTATGGCTTTGTGTGACAGTTAATTATGGACTTGCCAGCTGGATTATGAGCCAGATGTGGGCAAGAGCCCTGCCTTCTCCAGCTCTGTTCCCCAGCGCCTGATGCCTAGTAGGTGCTTAGTCATTGTTGAATGAATTATTGAACAAATATTTGTCTTTCCTAGCTGGATAACAGCCCAGCTTTAGGGGTATTAAGTTTAAGAGATGTGAAGGACAATAAAACCTACAGACACCCTTTCCCCCTAACACCCACTCCAGCAGACCATCCAATCCATTAGACTTGTTTCCTCTCTTTTGCCTCACCTCTTGGTCAGTGATTGTAAACAATCAAACAGCAGCCCACATCACTTTCCCCAGAGCTGCCCTGAGCTTTCATCAGATTTGATCTAAGTTTTGTGATTTGACCACGAGGTTGTCAAGAGATTTTAGCAGGAATTCCAGGCATGTGGTGTATATTGTGAAGTACTGGGCGCATGCTTGCTGAATATGGGATAAAAGCACTGTTTTTTGTACAACAGGAGGTTAAATGGTTATTTAATGTCAAAGACAATAGTTACATCTGCCTCCCAAAGACACAGATGTTGGAAGCTAATCCCTGTTCTCTCCATTTCCAGGGATGCTGTCCCTGGCTGACTGCCATCTTCCGTCTGCAGTAAGTACACTATGGGGCAGCTGCTGGGGGGCCTTTGGGCTGGTTTTTTTGGGTATTTGGCCAATCAAGAGTCAAGAGCCAAGATGCTTGATCTTAAGATGGGGTCTCTTAGATACTTTTCAGTTAATGTCCAAAGCAGTATGTGAGGGCTGAGAATCAAGGTGGCCAGGCAGCCCCTGGGGTCAGGGGCAGAGGAAGGAGGCCTGTAGGACTGGAGCCTCCATGCTGGAGGGCACACAGTCCCTGCTGGAGCCTGGAGCTTCCCAAATTGAGGTGGATCCCAAGAGTTCTTGAAGGTAGAGATGAACTTTATTTATTTCAACATATTCAGTGGAAATCATATGTTCATCTCTCATAATACTGCACAAACTAAAGCTAATTTTTTGCTTTAATTATTCAACTTAATATTTAACACCAATTAGATGTCAATGGAAGCTCTCCTAGGCAGGTTTGCATGTCTTTGAATTAGTGAAAAGTGAAGAAATATAATATATTCAATTCATTTGGTTACAAGTTTTCTTTTTTTCAATGGGGCCCATGGAGAGAAATGTAAAAGATTATTAAAGGTGATTAAGAGCCAGTTAGTTACCTCTCATGTGGTGGAGGGAGCCAGGAGGCGGGGACTGATGTGAGTCTTGGTTCTCACCTGCTGCCATATTCCATCGAATCTAAGAAGTCATTGTTGTAAGATGCATGTTATTTTATATAGCACTAAGAACAAGAAAATGTTGCCAGCTAAGCTATCATCAACTATCACGAGAGGATACACCTCATTTCAGAGGAGTTGAAATATGCCCGGCTGCAGTGGCTCACGCCTGTAATCCCAGCCCTTTGGGAGGCTGAGGCAGGCAGATCACGAGGTCAGGAGTTTGAGACTAGCCTGGCCAACATGGTGAAACCCCATCTCTACTAAAAATACAAAAATTAGCCGGGCTTGGTGATGGGTGCCTGTAATCCCAACTACTCGGGAGGCTGAGGCAGGAGAATCACTTGAAACCGGGAGGCAGAGGTTACAGTGAGCCAAGATCACCCCTACTGCACTCCAGCCTGCACGAAAGAGCAAAACTCCGTCTCAAAAAAAAAAAAAGAAATATGAAAATGACATCTTAGAATTGATGAAATGTGGTGGTTATAGGAGGTTGAGTTAGTCCCTCTTTCTGGACCTCCGTTTCCCCAACTGTAGAAGGAGGCTGAGGATAACATGTGCTCAGGCTAATTCAAAGGAATGAATACATGCGAGAGCATGTTGTAAATAGTCGGTTTGGTAGGAGTTGTTCCCAGGGGAACTGGTAGGAGACAGAGCCCTGTGGCAGACAGTCAACTCTGGTCTGGAACAGGAGGAAGCAGGAGGTGAGTTAATTTATTTAGAAATGAGAACAATGTAGTTAATTGCAAAGCTTTGTCCTCTGGATAAATAGTAATCATGACTCCTATGAACAGGCATATTTCTCAGCATCTGCTGATACCACGTACAGCGCTAGGTGTTTGATGCTTATTATCTCTTATGAGCCCCTGTTAAGCCAGTGAGGTAGGCAGTGGGCAGTTTCCTTGCTTGAGGTCAGAGGCAGGTAAGCTGCGTGACCTGCTTACCTCTCAGGTGGAGGCTGGATTGCATTGTGGTCTGACTGTAAAGCCCACGCTGACGTCTTTCAGATCTGTCTTTCTACGATGCAGCCCTTGCCTCCCTGAGCTCTTCCCAAAGCACTGCTTTCCCAGCCTAGAAGCAGTGCCTTCAGGGAGTGGGAAAGAGCAGAGTGCCCTGCCCCTTCTCCCTCTGTAGCACAGAAGTCTAGCTTGTGTGAACCTGGAATTTTCTGAGTCCCCAGTGGACCCAGAGCCTCCAAGTGTAGCACTCCAGCGGTGGGAAAGGGTGGAGCAAGTCACCTCCCCATCTCTGGGGACACAGGGAGGAGGCCAGGGTGGTAGGATAGACTGGGACTCTTGGCTCTACCTCAGGTCTCCACTTGAGGGGGAGACAGGAAACAGGTGGGGGCCTGGGCATATTCCCAACTTTATTCTTTTTTTTTTTTTTTTTTTCTTTTTTGAGATGGAATCTCACTCTGTCACCCAGGCTGGAGTGCAGTAGCGGGATCTCAGCTCACTGCAACCTCCACCTCCCAGGATTAAGCAATTCTCCTGCCTCAGCCTCCTGAGTTGCTGGGATTATAGGTGTGCACCACCACACTTGGCTAATTATTATTATTATTATTATTATTTTGTATTTTTAGTAGAGACAGAGTTTCACCATGTTGGCCAGGCTGGTCTTGAACTCCTAACCTCAGGTGATCCACCTGCCTCAGCAAAGTGCTGGGATTACAGGTGTGAGCCACTGCGCCCAGCCCTAACTTTATTCTGAATGTGATTCCTTAGAAGCAGGACAGGGCTGTGAGATGACTGTATTTATGTACCTTTCCCGCACACGTAACTTGGGCACAAATGTTTCTAGCAACATCAGATGGACTGCTGGTGTTCCTTTACCTCAAGTATGGTACAGGGGCTAAGATGGTGGGCTCTGGAATTTATATCATGTGAGATCCTGAAAGTTATGCAAATTTCCTGTGCCTTTATTTCCTTATATGTGAACAAAAATGTGGGGATAACAATCAAACCATCTCATAAGATTGTGGTGAGGATGATATGAGATGCTTCATGCAGAGCCGTGGGGCCTGTTCCTGCTGCTCATTAAGATTCCACATGTGTCTTGCCCAGTGATGACCAGATCCTGGAATGGTGTGGGGAGGACGCCATCCACTACCTGTCCTTCCAGAGACACATCATCTTCCTGCTGGTGGTGGTCAGCTTTTTGTCCCTATGTGTCATCCTGCCCGTCAACCTCTCAGGCGACTTGCTGGGTAATGACCCTCCTCACCCTTGTCTATGTTGTAATGGGGCAGAGTGGCAGTCCTAGGGAAAGGGCTCACTGTGGTAGACCAGAACCCCAGGAATCCTGCTCCAGTTCAGATGTAAGATGGTCTCCGGGTGACTCTCTGAACATTTCCATCTGATTAAAGATCTGGAGAATAATCTACCACAAACCTAGGCTAAAACTGGGGCCCCAATATCAATGTCTGGTTCTATTTAAATAGGGGAAAAAGCCTCCCAAGATTTACAGAATCAGGGGCTATTAGAGATTCTTTTATACTTTCCTGCCCTCACCCAAATTAGGAGGTCACAATTAATAGACCCAGAAGATATCCATGATACTTAATTAAACTCAGGGTGTGGCATTATATCTAAGGGTAACTGCAAGAATCCACCTTACAAAATGCTACCATGAATCCACTTAGGATACCCAGTGGTTCCCAACGTTGGTTTTGTAACAACGTAGGATGTTTGTAGTTTTCTCAAAACAAAATGAATTCACATTTTGCCTTTACCTGCAATGGAAGGTTGAGAAGTTATCAGGGAACATGTTGGTGTCAAGCAGAGGCCTTGATGGTGTAGCTCTGGAAAGACCAGTCAGGCGTTCTCTGCCTGCTGGTCCAGACATGCTCCTCCTCCCCAGAGCTCCACAAACCCAGGCTGATTGGTTACGCTCCCTTCTGCTTCCCCACATGACTCTGGAACTAAGTATCTGTGCTTCTCTGCAGACAAAGACCCGTACAGTTTTGGGAGGACGACAATAGCAAACCTGCAGACTGAGTGAGTATGGAGCCTGTGGGGATAGGTGTCGATGGGTGAGACCAAGGAGAAGGCAGGTCAGGAGCCCGGGGCAGGCCAAAGGTACTCCAAAGGGAGCCGGCTGGTTCTGAAGGCCCCTTGTAGCTAGTGTGTTGTTGAGCTGTGGGCATGAACACGCTACAGGCAGGCACTGTTTTGCCAGGGTTTTAAGAAACATGGAGGGTCCTGTGGATCTGGAGTTCATTTGTCAGAACAGGAACAGGGACCCCTCTGAAGTGTTCACTGTGGGCTGAGGGGCATTGGCCACACAGCCTCTGTGGGAGGCATCTCTTGCAATGAAGCTGTTGGTCCTCAGTTCAGTGCCCACTGAGGGTAACCAGGCCCCAGCTCTGCACCCCCAGCTCCCTGCCTGGGATCCCAGCTCTGATGGCAGGCGGTTTCCCCCTCAGCAATGACCTCATTTGGCTGCATACCATCTTTGCCGTCATTTACCTCTTCCTCACCGTGGGCTTCATGCGGCACCACACTCAGTCCATTAAGTACAAAGAGGAGAACCTGGTGAGTGAGGTGGGACTTGGGGACATGTGCTGGGAGGAACTCAGGTGGGAGCTGGAGTGGAGGGGCCTCCTAGGCTCTGCTGCAGGCCCTGACCACAATGAGCTCTGGGAAGGCCTCAGGAGCCCGGCTTGCTTATTCTTGCTCACACTTGGCATCATCTTTAAAAAAACAATTTCCTGGTGGATTGTTTCAAGATTTGGACAGTTACTGGTACTAAGTAAAGAAGTTTGGGTTGAGAGCAGCCCTTTCTCTTTACCACCCACAGCTTCACAGGGGAGGGGCGCTTCTGTGGCTTGGTTCCAGGCCTGGGTCCTCCTCTGATCTGCTGTGTGACCGCACTTGAGTCACTTCGCCTCTTTCTCGGTCTCCTGCCATGTAAAGAAGGCTCATAGAGTTGATTTGGAAGTGGATTCTTTGTAGAGCCTGGAAGAAGATGATGTGTAAATGACATGCTTTGGGGTTCTCCCGGCCACAGAAGGAGAAAACTGGAGCCTTCTAATTTCCTGTTGTTTACTTTCCAGAGGCTGGAGTCGGGTAGGAAACCTGAGCATACCTGCACACTGGCTTGTGAGTGACTTCTATCCCTACTGTGTTTCCTGGACAGGTGAGGCGGACCCTGTTCATCACAGGACTCCCCAGAGATGCCAGGAAGGAGACTGTGGAGAGCCACTTCCGGTAAGCAGGCGGGGTGGGAGGAGAGCTGAGCCCCCTCCACGTAGGACCAGCACAGCCCCACCCACAGGGCAAGCGCCTTAGGTAAGCGCCTGCTATCTCTCGCTTGGGTATCCAGATGAGATCTGAGAAGGACCTGGCCCTGCCACAGTGTATGGAGTGGCTCCAGTATGCCAGCCCTGCTGGTGCTGTGCAATGAATGGCGCCGTGGTGGCCTATCCTCTTCTTTTTTTTTTTTTTTTTTTTTTTTTCTCTTCTTTTTTTTTTTTTTTTTTTTGAGACGGAGTCTCGCTCTGTTGCCCAGGCTGAGGTACAGGCCGGATCTCAGCTCACTGCAAGCTCCACCTCCCGGGTTCACGCCATTCTCCTGCCTCAGCCTCCCGAGTAGCTGGGACTACAGGCGCCCGCCACCTTGCCTGGCTAGTTTTTTGTAGTTTTTAGTAGAGACGGGGTTTCACTGTGTTAGCCAGGATGGTCTCGATCTCCTGACCTCGTGATCCACCCGTCTCGGCCTCCCAAAGTGCTGGGATTACAGGCTTGAGCCACCGCACCCAGCCTATCCTCTTCAAGCAGCCTGTGCACAGTGTCCAGAGCACAGACCAGGATGTAGGTGCAAATAAACGTCTTGAGAGCATACGGGGGAACAAAAAGTGTTCACCCCGGGGTTCTTAGCATCACCTTTGCAGAATAAGAGACGTGAGCTGAGCATTTGTACAGACCCACAGGGCTAGGGTCTCACAGGTGGAAGGACCTCAGGGCCATCTCTGCGTTTGCTGGTTTGTCCACCCACGCAGTGGGTGTCTGTTGAGTGAGCACTGTGTCTGAGTCCAGGCTCTCCCTGGTAGAACCACCTTTCCAGCGGCTCCCTTTGAGGATCTGCAGCACCAATTCTTGCAGATGGAGGCTGGAAGAAAGGCTTTCCTGTGAGGAGATTACGTGTGCAGCCAGGAATGCGGGGGAAGGCCCAGAGCATCAGGAAAGGTGGAGGTGGGGTGCGGGGGCAGGGTAAGCAGGCCGGGAAGGCTCCCAGGACCCCATGCTGGAGGACCTGAAGGCTGGGCTTAGGAGCTGACATTTTATTCTTTCTTCATTCCTTTTTTTATTATCTTATTTTTTTAGAGACAGGGTCGTGCTCTGTTGCCCAGGCTAGAGTGCAGTAGTGCAGTCATAGCTCATTGCAGCCTCAAATTCTGGACTCAAGGGAGCTTCCTGCCTCAGCCTCCCAAGTAGCTGGGACTGCAGACACATGCCACCACACGCAGCTAATTTTTAAATTTTTAGTGGAGATAGAGTCTTGCTATGTTGCCCAGGCTGGTCTCGAATTGCAGGGCTCAAGTGATCCTCCTGCCTTGCCCTCCCAAAGTGCTGGGATTACAGGCGTGAGCCACCATGTCCGGCCTCTCTTCATTCCTTATCAATTCAGCAGCCACTAATTTGTTGCACGGACTAGGAGCTGGCTACACTTTAACTTTGCACTATTTATGAAGAAAGCACTTGCTAAGGAAATTACTAGACAGAATTGTAAATTGAATGTGTAAAATTAGAACAACTTCTTTAGAAACTCTAAGTATTTTAGAAATATTTACTAATATGTAAATACTCCATACCAGAATCATTTTTCTCCATTTCTTTAAAGCAACTCCCCAAAGTTGCCTGCTAGGCAACACCTGGAAACAGTAATTCCACTTAATGTATAACTTTGAAGAGAAAAAAAAAGTCTCCTCATTCTCATACAAACATTGTATGACTCAAGCTTTCCTCTATTTTAGGAGGCCTTTTTAGTGAATGCTGTTGCAATCCGTGGGGATTGATGTGTGAATTTGCCTTTCAAGCAGGGATGCTTAAATTGCAGTTTTCTTCCTCACAGCTGTTATTGAGACCAGAAATTGTCCTACTGTTTAATTTCATGATTGACATACCTATGGGCGCTCTCTCTCACTAAAATGTAAGCACATCCAGGCCCTGTTACCAGCACCTAGAACAGTGCCTGGCAGGTGGTAGGTGCGGATTTACATGGTTCTGGAATCCCCTGGAATTGTATGTATAATTTTGCGTGTACGGTGACAGGGTATTGCATGGTGGCCACGAGCATTGATCTTGGAGCCAGGTTGCCTATATTCACCTCATGGCTCAGACACTTACTAGCTGTGTGATCTTGGGTGCAAGCCACTTACCTCTGTGGGCCTCAGTTTACTCATCGGTAAAATGGGGACAAAACCTCACAGGTTATAATGAGGATTAAATAAATCAATATATGTAACAATATGTGGTCAATAGTGAGTATGTATTTTGCTGGTTCTTTTTTTTTTTTTTTTTTTTTTTTTTTGAGACAGAGTCTTACTCTGTCGCCCAGGCTGGAGTGGGGCAGTCTTGCTCACTGCAACCTCCGCCTCCTAGGTTCAAGCAATTCTCGTGCCCCAGCCTCCCGAGTAGCTGGATTACAGGTGTGCACCACCACACCTGGCTAATTTTTGTATTTTTAGTAGAGGTGGGGTTTCACCACATTGGCCAGACTGGTCTCAAACTCCTGACCTCAAGTGATCCACCCGTCTCAGCCTCCCAAAGTGCTGGGATTACAGGCATGAGCCACCGCACCTGGCCTTGCTGGTTGTTAATATGTGTGTAGACATTTTTTGGTCTGAAGGTCTTTTGCTTTCATTAGACTTTCTGAAAGGTCTGTGACCTTAAAAAAGCCTACCTGAATAGGATTTCAGTGAGGGCTCAAGGTAGATACTGACCTAGCACAAACAATAAATCTATTCCTTTGGGTCTTCAGAGGGGATAGTGATATGTTCATTTTTCCCCAGGAGAAGTGCCAGCTGATTGCAAGCCAAGTGGGTATAAACTTGTCAGTTCCAGGCAGTTAGCTTAAACTACTAAAAAAGGCTAGTGGGGTGCGGTGACTCATGCTTATAATCCCAGCACTTTGGGAGGGTGAGACAGGAGGAGTGCTTGAGGCCAGGAGTTCGAAATCAGCCTGGGCAACACAGCGAGACCCCGTCTCTAAAAAAAAAAAAAAAAAAAAAATCAGCCTGGTGGCATGTGCCTGTAGTCCCAGCTACTCGGGAGGCTGAGGTGGGGCGACTGATTGAGCCCAGAAGGTTGAGGCTTCAGTGAGCCTTGATTGTGCCACTGTACTGCAGCCTGGGTGACAGAGTGAGACCCTGTCTCTAAACAAAACAAAACAAAACAAAAGCCCTCTTTGTATTAAATTTCAAAATTTCCCCCTTTTGGAGGATAAAAGACAGAAGAGAAGTCTCTACTGGCACAGAAACCAGCAGCGAGATCACTCTGCCATCCTTTCCCTTGGATTCGTGGGCATGTCTCCTGCTTAGGGTGTTTTCTTATCCAATGGCATCTTTTGCCTCCTTCTCTCCCTGGCCACAGGGATGCGTACCCCACGTGTGAGGTGGTTGATGTCCAGCTGTGCTACAACGTGGCCAAACTGATCTACTTGTGCAAGGAGAGGTGAGTGGCGGGCGGGCTTTGCGAGATGCCCACTCCTTCCTTGCTGGCCTTGCATCCCCCAGCTAAGAGGGGAGGAGGGAAGCCCTGGACTCCTCCTTCTCCCCTAGCAACCGATGGTTGAACTGTGGGTGTGGGGGTCTCTGCCACAGGATTCTGAATCTAAAGTTTGTGCCCCTGCTCCCACCCCTACAGAAAGAAGACTGAGAAGAGCCTGACCTATTACACGAACCTGCAGGTGAAGACAGGCCAGCGGACCCTCATCAACCCCAAGCCCTGTGGCCAGTTTTGCTGCTGCGAAGTGCTGGGCTGTGAGTGGGTAAGGGCCCCGCTCCCCGGCTGGAAGCGCAGGCATTGGCTTGGGGGTGCCCCAGACACCTGCTTGGGGCCACATCCTCCCAATGGGATGTGTCTTCTGGCAGGAAGACGCCATCTCTTACTATACGCGGATGAAGGACAGGCTGCTGGAGAGGATCACAGAGGAAGAATGCCACGTCCAGGACCAGCCCCTGGGAATGGCCTTTGTCACCTTCCAGGAGAAGTCCATGGCCACCTAGTGAGTGTGGGCACATCCCAGACCCCTTCTTGGATGACTCCCTGTTCCCCTCCAGATAACTCACTGTCCCTCTTGGGCAGAGATGGTACTGCTGACCCACCATCCCTGGGATTTATCTGTGGTGTTTCCTTCTCCTCCCTCAGCCACCCACACTCACTTTCGGCCAGCCCAGCCCATGTTTGTGTGACAGGTGGTGGGGGTGTGGGCAGCATCCATGGAGTGGGTGATTCTGGCCAACCCCCTCAAGCTGATGTGGCTTGGCCCCACTGCTGGGCTCTTCCCTGCTGCCCTGGACCCATCCTGTTGGCTTCATGTGCCAGCCTTCCCTGACAGGAGATGGAGGCACCCTCCTTTCAGACATCTGCTCTGGACCACAGATCCTTCTGTCTGTGGCTCCCCACCTTCCCACAAACGCAAAGCTGTGGGGAAGACCCCTGGGGCACGCTGGGGCGCTCACTGCAGTCGGAAGCTCGATCCTGGGGAGTGGCTTTTCACAGTGGCCCTTTGCATGGGACTCTAGGCTCTCATGCCTGTGGTCTCAGTGTCATCTCGCCTTAGGAGCAGCAGGGGGTGGGTTGGAAGAGGGGTGCCGAAAGGAGGTGTCCAGCCACTGCCCCTCCCCCTGCCTTCTCTGCCCCGGGCATTGTGACACTGGGAATGGACTCACACAGGACTTCCTGCCTCCCTGCAGACACTGGGGCAGGAGGAAAGGGGAAGGCATCTGAGGCAGGAGTAGAGGGGCTGCTGGGCTCCTTATGGGAAGTTAAAGGAGGAAAAGCTGTGACCTGTTGAGATGGTGAGGGTCGAGGTGGGAGCCTTGAGGAGGGAAGCTTGGGAACAGGCAGTGTGTAACGCGGTCTATTGCTACCCTTGGGCCTGGGGAAAAAGTGACAGAATGAAAAGGTGAGCCACTGGCTTGGCAGTAGCATTGATCAGAGCTCCAGCTTAACAGGCAGGGTGGAGGGGGATGGCCCTATGGAAGAGCAGTGTGTTGGGATGTGTTGCCCTCAGTTTCCTTATCTGTAAAATGGGAATAGTACTCCCTTTCTTGCTGGTGGTTGCGAGGATTAAACAAAATTCTCCACACAGTGTGCTAGCATGGTGCCTCTTACATAGCATTACTCATAATACACTAATCACAACAAAGCAAAGGTCCTGTGTCACTGCTTGCCACTCCTACTCAGTCCTCACTTGCCACGGTAACCTGAGGAGCCTGGGCCTGGCTGTTTCTACATTTCCTTGCAGCATCCTGAAAGATTTCAATGCCTGCAAGTGTCAGAGCCTTCAGTGCAAAGGTGAGCCCCAGCCGTCCTCCCATAGCAGAGAGCTCTGTACCTCCAAGTGGACAGTCACCTTTGCCGCTGACCCTGAGGACATCTGCTGGTGAGCTCCTAGACCAGGGAGAGGTGGGAAAGAGGCCTGGGTTCCTGGTGGGAGCTGCCCATCACCTGGAGCACAGGTGTGACCTGGCAGTCAATGGAGATCTCCACACATCTGCAACTCTCTGGGCCATGATGCTGTGATGTGCTCAGTGTGGCCCAACTGGGGTATCTGCCCAGCCCTTCCCTCCAGTGTTCCTCCCTAGCATTCAAGTGCTACCCAGCAGAAATATAATGCCAGCTCTGAATGTAATTTTAAATTTCCTAATAGCCATGCTAAAAAGGTAAAAAGAAACAGTTGAAATTAATTTTAATAATTTATCTCACCCAATATATTCAAACTGTTATTTCAACATGCAATCAATTTTTGAAAAATGTGAGATGTTTTACATTCTCTTTTTCACACTTAGTCTTCAAAATCTGGTGTGTATTTTACACTTCTAGCACCTCTCAATTCATACCAGCCACATTTCAAATGCTCAGTAGCCACATGCAGCTTGTGCAGTCTTACTTAGGTCCAGTGTCAGCCTGGAGCTGTGCTGGTGAGCTGAGCTGTGTCCATGGGGGCCATGGTGAGCCTCCAGTGCTGTGCTGAGGGTAAGGGAACCCAGCACAAGACCCAGCGCAGCTGCCTGTCCAGCTCTGCCTCAACTCCTTGCACAGAATGAGCTTGAGTTGCTCCTCTCTGCTCGGTTCTAGTTCTGCCTTCAACAGTTTTGCTCTTTGGTTCACAGGGCTTCCTAAACTCAGGATTGCTCTGTGGGTCTGTTCTTTGGGATGAGAGGCCAGGGCAGGTGCAAGCTATGCCTTTGCTGCTTTGTCCCTGCCTCCGTCGTCCCTGCACCCCAGCCATAGCCCCCTTGGGAAGAATGTGTCATTAGTCACAAAGCATTGGAGATGTGTCTAAGAAGTGCCATGCTGGGGCTGGGCATGGTGGCTTACACCTGTAATCCTAGCACTTTGAGAGGCTGAGGTGGGTGGACTGCCTGAGCTCAGGAGTTCAAGACCACTCTGGGTCACATGGTGAAACCCTGTCTTTACTAAAAATACAAAAAAATTAGCTGGGTGTGGTGGTACATGCCTGTAGTCCCAGCTACATGGGAGACTGAGCAGGAGAATTGCTTGAACCTGGGAGGCAGAGGTTGCAGTGAGCCGAGATCACACCACTGCACTCTAGCCTGGATGACTGAGCGAGACTCTGTTTCCAGAAAAAGAAAAAAAAGGCCTTGTTTGGCCTGCTTGGGTGCTCATGCCATCTCTTTGGGTAGGTTCTGGCCCCCACACTATAGCTGGGGAGCCACATCTGAGAGAATAACCTTTGTTCCCTCTGAGCTCTCGGGGACCTAAGACTTGGCCTTTCTGTAGTTCAAGGTCAGTGCGGAGAACTTGCCCCCAGGCTAGTCTCTTGGTCTGCCTAAATCTGACCTTCTGACCCACCTAAGCCACGAGCACTGGGAGACAAGCCTGGAGACCTGTGTCCCCTCTCCCCACTGCAGGAAGAACCTCTCTATCCAGGGCCTCCGCTGGTGGCTACAGTGGCTGGGCATCAACTTCACCCTCTTCCTGGGGCTGTTTTTCCTGACCACACCCTCCATCATCCTGTCCACCATGGACAAGTTTAATGTCACCAAACCCATCCATGCGCTGAATGTGAGTAACTGTTCTGCAAGGCCCCTCCCAGGAGAGCTGGTGAGAAGAGGGCTTGGTGGGTGGGGAAGGAATGGGGACAAGAGTGGGGTGTATGCGGGAAACTAAACCAGGGGGTCATGTCGCTCAGCTCACATCCTTGCTTTTAAGCCCTGAGCAGGCATGGCCACATTTATTTCAATGTCTTTATAGTAATGCCATACACACACACACACACATTATATGTATATATATACACACACACATGCATACATATATATTTTAATAGACTGTATCTAAATACTCAATGGTGGGGACCATTTGAGTTGAATGAGGTCTATTCAGTTTGGTAGAATATTAAGCATCCATTAAAAATTGTGTAGATTTTGTGGCACCCATGCAGGGCTCCTGACAGAAGCAGGGATGTACCAGTGAGGCATGTCTATCATGGACACTACGGGGAGGGGCCAGGAAGGAAGGAAAAGAGCTTCGTTGATTGGAGGTGGCAGGATCACAAATTATTTCTTTTACATTTTAGTTGCTAATGACCTTGCTATAAAACTATTCTGGGGCCAGGCGCAGTAGCTCACGCCTGTAATCCCAGCACTTTGGGAAGCCAAGGCAGGCGGATCACCTGAGGTCAGGAGTTCAAGACTAGCCTGGCCAACATGGCAAAACCCCGTCTCTACTAAAAAATACAAAAATTAGCCAGGTGTGTTGGTGGGCGCCTGTAATCCCAGATACTCAGGAGGCTGAGGCGGAGAATTGCTTGAACCGGGAGGTGGAGGTTGCAGTGAGCCGAGATTACACCACTGCACCCCAGCCTGGGCAACAAGAACGAAACTCCATCTTAAAAAAAAAAAAACAACAAAAACAAAAAAAACAACAAAAACTATTTATTCTGTATAGGTAATGAATGATTTTCAAAAATCGTAGATGAGTCAATGAGATAACAGCCAAACACTCAACTGGCATTTACTCAAAAAGCTATTGGTGTCTCATGATTAACTTTGCCAAGCCATCTCCCTAAATTTTTTTTCTTTTTAAATTTCACTTTGCATTTGGTTACTCATTCTCTGGGAAAGCACACTGGGCAGGAGGGCCTCCTTGTCCTCACTTTGCCATTCTCCCCATCTGATGAATTCTGAACCTCAGTTTTTCATCCAAGGACTGGAGTTAAAACACCTGCCCTATTATACAGGACGCAAGGCTGTTGTCATGATAATCAATGAGCTGATGTGTGGTTGAAGCTCTTATCTGACTCCATAAATAGTTTACCTAAGTAGAAATTCAGCAGTTTTGTTTAAGATTTCAAGCAGGTATTATAAACATGCATTCCTTTGCCAATCTTTTAATAGAGGGACAGGCCTATTCTTTTGAGGATGGATCTGCTGGTAAGAGCTCCCCTTTGTCTATTTTACATCAACCCCTCCTTATTTCATTGTTTTGTGATTCCAGTGTTGCCTTCTTTAAAGTAAAGGAAGAATTTAGATATTTGCAGAGCCATTCTGAATATAGAAACTTCCTAGATCGCATATCCCTTGATCTTTTATCGTTAATTTACTCTCATCTAATTAACAGCGTTTTTTTTTTTTTTTAGAAATTGACTTTTATCAAGTCTTTCCAAAGTATCCAACTTAGTTTTCAAAGAAAATTTCTCTCTATTTTTATGTTCATCTAATAAGTGACAGTAATAAGTCAGTCAGCTCATATAATCACAGTAACAAACAGCAGGATTGTGGACACACACAGTAGAGTCCTGATATGCTGCAGCTGGACCAGTGGGAGCTGAGCAGGCAGGGCACCCCCTGCCCGCCCCATGCCCCCAGCCAGGACTCCAGGCCTTCAGTGTTCAGTCTTCCCATGGCATCAGTCATTTGTTTTGTATAGGGAGCAGAGAAGGTTATTTAATCTGTTTAGTCAGATAAGTGGCGTTTACTTGTATGTGAAATTGCTTTCTTTGCTGTGCTGTGAGGAGGTATACAAATATAAGGTGCTGTTACTGATTATTCAGCCAACATTTATGGACTACCAGCTCTGTACCTGGCACAGTGTTGGTTCTGGGGGTCAGAGATGACAAACTCCTACCCCGGGAGTCCACTGAGCGACCGTGCCAATAGGTCATGGCCTCAGAGCCGTGTGGCCCACGGCCCCTGTGACTCTCTCTGCTGTGGACCTTTCTCCTAGAACCCAATCATCAGCCAGTTCTTCCCTACCCTCCTGCTCTGGTCCTTCTCGGCTCTGCTCCCCTCCATTGTCTACTACTCTACACTGCTGGAGTCTCACTGGACCAAGTGAGTACCCGGGAGTCCTGAGGCCCTGCCCCTAAGACATATTTGTCTGACCACTCCCTTGTCCACACCCTGTCCCCCAACTGCTCAGCCAATGGGCACATGGCAGGGGCCTCACTGGGGGCACCTGGAGCATCTGGGGGACTGTGAGTACTCACCTTTGACTTCCTGCAGGTCAGGGGAAAACCAGATCATGATGACCAAAGTCTACATATTCTTGATCTTCATGGTGCTGATCCTGCCCTCCCTGGGTCTCACCAGGTATATGCCACCACCTCCTGCTGTAAATTCAGAATAAGAGTCACATCAGGAGAGCACTGTCCCCAGGAGAATACAAATGGTTTGGTAGCAGAAGCAAACCTCTAACAATATCTAAGTGTGTCACAACCTCTTGGCGTGCAGTAGGGCTGGGTCATTGATTCTTCTGGCAATATGATTGTTCTTCTTTAAAAAAGAAAATAACACCATATTGGTCAGGCTGGTCTCGAGCTCCTGACTCAGGTGATCCACCCGCCTTGGCCTCCCAAAGTGCTGGGATTACAGGCGTGAGACTGTGTCTAAATAAAACCAAAAAACAAAAAAGAAAGAAAAGAAAAGAAAAGAAAAAACAGCTTGAAAATTTTGTGACCAGGCACGGTGGCTTATGCCTGTAATCCTAGCATTTTAGGAGGCCGAGGTGGGCAGATCGCTTGAGTCCAGGAGTTCCAGCCTGGGCAATATGGCGGAACCCCATCTTTACAAAAGAAAAAAGAAAATGAAACTTACCAAGGACCTTCCACTTAGGGAGGGCCTCATTATGGCTTTGTTTATCTCAAGGAAGGAAGTTTCTGTTAAAGCAGACTGTGACAGGTCATGCTGCAGTAATGCATCGTTGAGAACAAAAGTCGATCTCGAGCTTTGGCCTGTTTTTAGAGCAAAAGAAAATGAAAGCATATGTAGTGACAATATGGAATGCTGGAAATAAACTCTTAGGGAGTTCCTTTGTTTTTCAGTCTAGACTTTTTCTTCCGGTGGCTCTTTGACAAAACTTCCTCGAAGGCTTCCATCAGGTTGGAGTGAGTATTGCCAAGTTGAGTTTTGGAGCCATGGCTCTGGGTGAGAGTCCCACAGGGGCTAGGGCTGCAGTGGGGTGGGTAGGGGTGCTCGTAGCCTATGCTTCCGAACAGGCATCTTTCTCCCCAGACAGCAGGGCTTGGGGCCTCACCTCCACCCTTCCAGGTTCCTGGTAAACACGGTGGGAGCTGACCCACTTTGTGCTATGCTTGCAGAAATGTGGTTAATTTTTTAGGCCAGAACTCAATTAGCAGCTGTCTCATTCATTCTTTGAAACTTACTGAGCACAGAGCCACGTGGGGAGAAGGAATTGCTGTGTCTCAGTGGTGCCAGGGAATGGGGAAAGGAGAAAATTAAACATGGCAACCGGGATGCCTCTGGGCTCTGGGGATTATTTTTGCCAGAATAGAATTAAACTTACTGCCGATGTATCCTTGTTAGTATTTTAAACTTACACCATGCCACTTAACAGTAATAGCTATTAAGAAGGCACTACGCTAAATGCTTTATGCATCTTTTTCTCACTGAATCTTTACAATGAGCTATGAGGAAGATACTATTATTCTCTCCATTTTACAGGTGAGGAGACTGAGGTTCGGGGATGTTGAATAACTTGCCCAAGTCTACCCAGCCAGTTAAGGAACAGAGCTGGGATTCAACCCCAGCCTCTACAGACTATACGTTAGGTCTTAATATAGGCCCAGAGGCTTGGCATTGACTTTCCTAAAAGAATGTGCTTACCTGTAAGGATGGGGTGAGTTATTTTAAATGAGTTCTTGCTGAGTAAGCTGATGAGTTGGGAGCTGGCGGCTATGACAGACACACATACATACAACCAGCAATAGTCTAGGTTGACAGTGACTTTCAGATTGACAAATCCAGTGACCAACTCAATTCTCATCTTATGATCTATCAGCGACATCTGACACATTTATCCAAGCCTTCCTTCTCGAAGCTCTGCCTTGGCTGTCTCATACGGCGGCATGCTCTTGTCACCCTCCTTGGTGGGTTCTTTCCCATCTCCCCAACTCTAGATTTTGGCTGCCTGAAGGCTCAGCCCCCAGTTCTGGGTCCACACTGCCTCTCTAGGTGACTTCAGCTGAACCCATGGCTTCCATGCCATGAGACTGCTCCTGAATTAACTTATGCGGACAACATCCACATTTATGCCTCTAGCCTGCACCTCCAGGCTGATAACCCAACTGCCCACCTCAAATTCCAGATGGAGTTTTACTGGGTGCCACGGATGTTACCTGCCCAAAACCAGACTCCTGACTTTTACCCTCAAATCTGCTACTCTATAACTTTCCCCATTCCATATTGTTTTTCTAACTGTTTTGGCAAAAAACCTCAAAGTTCACCTTGTTTCCTTTCTATCCCTCCCATGCCATACCCAGCCTATCAGCAAATCCTGACAGCTCTCTCTCTAAAGTAGATCCAGAATCCCTCCATATCTCACCACTTCCATCACAACTGCCCTTGCCCCACATGGGGATCACACAGCGGCCATCTGTGTAGTCTTCCTGACCCCATCGGAACAGATCCCTTGCCCTGGGTCTGTCCCCAGCCCCTTTCAGCCTTGTCTTCTGCCTTCCCTCAGCCCACTGCTGTCCAGCCCCACCTGCCCTTTTGTTCTTCCTGGATGTGCAGCAGACGAGGGCATCCTCAGGCGTCTTATATGTTGTTCCCTTTCCCTGGAATCCTGTCTTCCCAGGTTTTGGGATGACTTGCTCCTTCACTTCTTCACATCTCTGCACGTGTATCACCTTGTAAGAAAGGCTCCTCCAACCCTTGTATAACATAGGAACCCTCCCTGCTTTATTTTCCTCTAGGACTCACCACCCCCAGCATATGGAATATTTGTTTGTTTGCTTCTTTGTGCCCCCAGCTAGAATGTGAATTTCAAGAGAGTGGGGGCAGGGGCTTTGTTCTGTTCTCTATATCTGGAAAGGTACTTGGTACACAGATGTGTTCTCCAAATATGTGCTGAATGAACGGAAGACTATACAGCCCTCCCAGGGGCTTTCTGCTCCTGCCCAGCCTAGGAGCCCCTCCTCTCCCTCCAAGAGCAGCTCTCAGCTCACAGACCTGGGCCCCGGTTTCCCCAGGTGTGTCTTCCTGCCTGACCAGGGCGCCTTCTTTGTGAACTACGTCATCGCCTCGGCCTTCATCGGCAATGGCATGGAGCTGCTGCGGCTGCCAGGCCTCATCCTCTACACCTTCCGCATGATCATGGCCAAGACGGCTGCCGACCGCAGGAATGTCAAGCAGGTGCCATCCCCTGGGCCCAGGGCTGTGCCTCTGACTCCCTCCCATGTCCCCCTTCACTGACCCGAGGGCCTCTCACCCCCACTACCCTCGCTAATGGGTAGCATTTACCCAACTACCCACTAATGCAGGCACTGGGCTAAGTGCTTCTCAAACCCGGGCCCAGGCAGGCATGGTCTCCTCCAGCCTCCTCTCTAGCTCACAGGCTGGAGGAGAGAGTTTGGGACTCTGGCATTTGAAACAGTTTGATCACACACATACATACATACAACTCAAACCAACAGACTCTTTTTCCATGGGTGCCCATTTGCATAAATTCTTAGCCAAACCTCAGATGTCAAAGGCATTTTTGGCTTATGGCATTTATTCCAGGATTCCCTGAACCGGAGGGTGTGGGATTCTCTTTTCTTCTCCTCTGCCATGGTGGGCACTGCGCGAGGAAAGTGGGAGAAGTGCTACATTCCTTCATTTCATTCTCAGCCCCTTATGAGCCGGGCACTGCTAGTATCCTGATTTCACAAAGGCACGAACTAAGCTGGCCCAGGATCCCCTGCTAGAAGGGCTGGAGTCACGAGGAGTCACTCTACACCTCTTCCCCGACCACCTCTTCTCTCCAGGGGCTCACATGCCTGTTGGGTGGACAGGATTGGAACGAAGGGAGCACTAGCAAACATGCATCACCGTGCCTCAGGAGGGCTGGGTGCGCTGAGTGAAGCAGGGCAGGCTGGGAGGGATGGGAAGGACCTTGGGAGGCGTGGAGCCATGCATCTCCTATTTCCAAAGTCCTCTACCCCGCTCTCCCCTCACCACTTGGAGAGCACAAAAGGGTGTTTGAGGTGGAACAAGTCCATGAGCTCCTCACCACCTCCTTCTCCCAGAACCAGGCCTTCCAGTACGAGTTTGGAGCCATGTATGCGTGGATGCTGTGTGTCTTCACTGTCATCATGGCCTACAGCATCACCTGTCCCATCATTGCGCCATTTGGTGAGTGGCCCTGGAGCCTCTCCCAGGGTACGTGGACGGCTGATTGCACCAAGCCTCTCGGGGACAGCTAACAATTGTGCCCAGGTTGGAGTTCCCAAAACCACAGCCACAAGAGCCACAAGCTGCCAAAGACCCACATGACACCAAATTTCACTCATTTCTTTCTTTTTTTGTTTAGAGACAGGGTCTCATGCTGATACCCAGGCTGGAGTGGCATGATCTTGGCTCACTGCAACCCCCACCTCCTGGGCTCAAGCCATCCTCCCACCTCAGCCTCCTGAGTAGCTGGGATTACAGGTGCCCACCACCATGCCTCCCTAATTTTTTGTATTTTTAGCAGAGATGGGGTTTCACCATGTTGGCCAGGCTGATCTTGAACTCCTGACCTCAGGTGATCCACCCGCCTCAGCCTCCCAAAGTGCCGGGATTACAGATATGAGCCACTGTGCCTGGCCTCATTCATTTTTAAATGAATTCCTCCCACTGGCCCTCAGCTAGGACCTCTCTCAGTACTTCTGGTCTGAGGTTCTCTGCCCAGTGACCACGTCGTTCATGGTTGATTTCTTTAGCAGCAAGTAAAACAGTCACAATCAAAGCTCTTGTGCTGCTTTCACTCCGGCAGATGCCTGCCTCCAGAATTGTCTTGGAAAGAGGCTGTTTCACACTTGGATGTCTGGCCTCAATTCCTCCCCAGCCCTTCCCATGCAGAGCCCCGTATGGCATGCTCCCACACCTTATCCTACAAGGCAGGTCTTGTTTCTATTCCCCCTTCACAGATAAAGAACTTCATATGTTGTTAGTAAGCAGGAGAACCAGGATTTGAACTCAGGACTGTTTAAAGACCAAGGTCCTGGCCACTGAAATTTAAAAAAAAAAAAATCCTCTTGAGCTGGCAGATGAATGAAAGGCTCTAGAAGGAAACAGAAGACCCAAGAGACTGCTGGCAGCGATAGCTGAGGTTTAGGGGGAGAAGTTGTTTTAGGTTTCACTGTATACTCTCTTGTATAGTTTTAAAAATTTACAGTATTTACACTTTCAAAACAAAATTTGTTTTTTAAAAAAGAACCTGGGACCAGGCACGATGGCTCACTCCTGTAATCCTGGCACTTTGGGAGGCCTAAGCAGTGGATCATCTGAGGTCAAGAGTTCAAGAACAACCTGGCCAACATGGTGAAACCCTGTCTCTACTAAAAATACAAAAATTAACTGGGCATGGTGGCAGGCGCCTATAATCCCAGCTACTTGGGAGGCTGAGGCAGGAGAATCACTTGAACCCAGGAGGCAGAGGTTGCAGTGAGCCAAGATTGCACCACTGCACTCCAGCCTGAGCAACAAGAGCGAGACTCCATCTCAAAAAGAACCTGGCATAATAGAAAAGGCAGCACCCACTTTCTGTTGGTCCCCCATGTGCGTTCCTGTGCCACCCCTGGGGTAAGATCCTTGGGCCTCATTCTCTGTTGACTGATGAAGGCGGGGATCAGCTGGGTGGGAGAAGGCCAGGGGTGTGGGAGCACTGACATACGGGGGCTCAGCATGAGAAGAGCTGGGGAGGAATTGAGGTCAGACATCCAAGTGTGAAACAGCCTCTTTCCAAGATGATTCTGGAATGTTAGTGTTCTGTGGGGACAGGATCACAGACACTGTGACTCCCTTGGTGTGGGGTCCGTCCCACAGACCCTGATCCAGCGACAAATGAAAGACATACACTGACAGATATTTTGCCTGTCAGTGCAGCTAAGGGGCTCTGCTGCCTGAGTCTGCACCTGTGGATGATCAAAGGTTGGTCTCAGGACCACATGAGTAAACAAGCTATTTGGGTAAACTCCCCCACATTCCTATGTATCTACGCCCTAAGCTTTTGAGAGAATTCAGCTGCCTTAGCCAAACCCTTTACTGAAGTTATGCAAACCTCTCGGCCTTACAAGGTTTGTGTCTATTTTCTATAACTTTGTCTTAAATTTTCTCCCACCACCCTGACCGATCCCCTACACCTTGGGGTCACAGAGAAGTGAGGAAGCGGGTAGGAGAGAGAAAGAGAAACAAAACTAGCAGCCAGAGGTGCAGGATGCCTCATTTTGTGTTCAAGCAGTAGAGCAGCAGCCCCAGTCCTGGCTCCTTGCCAAAACAGCCGCCCCTGAGAGGAAGAGGGCAGAGGTGTCTGTGTGGCCCTGCAAGGTCTCCAGCTCACAGCCCTATCCCCTGCAGGCCTCATCTACATCCTGCTCAAGCACATGGTGGACCGGCACAACCTCTACTTCGTCTACCTCCCAGCCAAGCTGGAGAAGGGGATACACTTTGCTGCTGTGAACCAGGCCTTGGCAGCCCCCATCCTATGCCTCTTCTGGCTCTACTTCTTTTCCTTCCTGCGCCTGGGTGAGTGGCCCTTCCAACCCGGGGCCAGCCCTTGGCCTCCCATTCCTGCATCCCCACCAGCCAGTCAGATCCCCCATTGCTTTCACAGCATCAGCTTGGCATCCAGTCAGAATGTGTGCCCAGAGTGAGGACTGGTTAGGTGTCCAATCAAAACAGGATACCCAGAGTGAGGGCTGGTTGGGTGTGGTGGTGACAGCTGAGCTCCTAAGCTAGCCCAAGTGCAGGTGTAACCCTTGTGAAGGCCTGGTCAATTGTCCCATACGTCCCTGGAGAGAAGACAGTGCCGTTATCAGCTGTGCAGGGACTGAACCAGAGGAAATGGGGAAGCTGATCCAGATTGCCCTTTGAGGGTGGTGGTTGGACCCGGCTCCTTGTATCTCCTGGCATGGAAGAGGTGGGGACATGGAGGAGAGAAAACTGACTCCTGGGGGAAAGTTATGTCTGCCCTGGTCAGACTGGGGGTGTGGGACAGTCCATCCTCCCTAGCCCAGGGCACTGGAGACTGGAGGGAACAGACCCAGCAAGGAGGCTGGTGAATTGCCATTGACTTGGCATCCCAGTGCCTGAAATCCAACCAGGGATGATGCCAGCCATTCAGTGGGTCCCTCTGTGTGCTCCTGGCTGTGAAGACACCATCCTTGCTGCTGGAGTTGAGGGCTAGGGGTGGGGGTTAGGCCTTACTTTTGTTTTCTGCCTGAGGGATAAGTCACAGGCAGTTTCCACACCAGGTGTGGCCCCTTCCGCAGCAGGGTGAGGGTAGGTGGTGGCCCCTCCCTGCCCACCCCAAGGCTAGCCACCCTCTGTCCCCAGGTATGAAGGCCCCTGCCACTCTGTTCACCTTCCTGGTGCTGCTGCTCACCATCCTGGTCTGCCTGGCTCACACCTGCTTTGGATGCTTCAAGCACCTCAGCCCTCTGAACTACAAAGTAAAGGTCCCCGACCCCACTGCCCCGTCAAGCCCTGGGAGGAACAGATGGTGGGATGGGCTCACTCTCAACGCCTCCCCCCCTTGTCCGTATCAACACAGCAGCAGCCTTCTCCAGATTCTGCTTCTCCATGGGAAAGGCGTGGGTGGTTGGGTGCCATGTGTAGCTTCCCTTGCTCCCCTCATCACTGCACTCCCCCACCCCATCCTCTCTCAGGCTGCCGGGGAGCTTGGTGCCAGCTGGTACTATTATTCCGGGTGTTAATAGTCTCTGTGTTTGGAGGGTGTTCGTTCACAGAGATCAGTTTTGTTTATCATTGCAAGTTTTTGCTGTTATCTGCAGACAGAAGAGCCTGCAAGTGACAAAGGAAGTGAGGCAGAGGCCCACATGCCTCCACCGTTCACAGTAAGCTGTCTGTGCCCCTCAGCTTCCGAGCTTGTCGCCCTTTTTTGCTTTGGTTGTAACAGTCCCAACCAGATGGGCCCCAGCAAATGTGCTTTGATGATCTCTTGCTAAGATCACATGGCAGGCAGGTCTGTGAATTAATGGCAGAGAAGGAATCCCGGTCCCCCTGGGTATTTTAACCTGCATATTTGAAACTGTTGAGGAGATAATGAGTCTTGTCTCGGTTCATGGCCATCCCCCTTGGTTTCAGTTCCCTGCTCTGACACCTGGGAGATGTCCTTCTCTGCATATTTAATAGCTGGTGAGTTTGAGGCTTTAGTGAAGGCACATGGTAAGGCGCTAGGGTTTGACAGTTTGTCATCAGCAGTCCACCTGCCTATGCGAGGTCCTCCACTAGGTTCCAAGAGGGTGTCAGACAGACTTCCCTTTGAATTCAAGAAATGAACATTGCACCGTGGGGTCTTCCTCTGAAGGCTCCTTGTCTTCCCGGTTCTCCCTGCCTCCAGGGTCCTGCTCCTAGGGTGGGGCTGGTAAGGGAAAACAGAGCTCCAGGGTTCCAGAGCTGTGGCCACTGGCCTTCCTGACAGCCGGGGCCAGGACAGAGCCGACCTCATCTGCAGGGTTCTTTCTGGTGACTGCCTCCCAGGTGTCAGGCTCTCTTATCGGTGTCTGTCCTTGGACAAGTTCCAAAAGAGGGAGGGCCTCAGAAGGACTCATTACCCAGAGACACACCTGTGGCTTTGCTGGCCAGGCAGGGAACACGCAGGACAGGTGGATGATGTCAAGCCCTCACTCACAGTCAGGGTCTTGGGAGGAGTGGGGCAGGGCTCTGCGCCCGGGGTCAGTGGCTGGAGCCTGGGATTGGGAGGAAATGAGACTCACACAGATATGTTGAGCATCCCAGGGGTCCCAGGGCAGCGTTCTAAGCCCCCCTACATAGGTAGACTTGTTTCTTCTACAAAGTGAGAAATCCTCCTAGGATCCAGGGCTAGGAAGTTTAGTTTCCTCGGAGAAACTGCTCTCCTGTACTTCCTTCTGTCATCATGAGAACTGTATAACTGGGCTTTCTCTTTTGCCCTGGCTGCTAGGAAGTTCCACAGGTGGCATATTTTAGGTCCTAATGTCCTAAATTGATGTTGCTATTTCTTCATATGTCCTTTATGGCCACTGTCTGTGTCCTTCTGTTGGGAGGAGAAGGGCAGGAGGGGAGGGATGCAGTGTGGAATCTCATGCCTGCCCCAAGCCAAGCACGAATCCATTTGCTGACAGCCCTATGTGCCTCGGATTCTGAACGGCTTGGCCTCGGAGAGGACAGCACTGTCTCCGCAGCAGCAGCAGACGTATGGTGCCATCCACAACATCAGCGGGACTATCCCTGGACAGTGCTTAGCACAGAGCTCCATGGGCAGTGTGGCTGCTGCCCCACAGGAGGCCTGAGGCCTGGTGAGCTACCAGCTGGGTCAGGCTCAGGGGAGCCTGTGGGGTGAGAAAGGTGAAGCAGGGTGAGAAGACAGGCGAAGCAGCCTGACTCCCAAGTTCATGACTTCTTCCCATCTGTTTTAGGTCTCACTGCTCTGAAAAGACACCACCAGAATGGCCTGGGGCTCAGGCCCTTGGCTGAGCGGGAATGTGTTGGGACTGCCCAGCTGAGCCATCAGGTGCCCATCTTTTCTGGTCCCAGCAGTGGTGAGGGGAGCACATGCAGGCCTCGCCCCTACCTTGCTCACCCAGTTCCCCCTCTGGCACAAGCTTGCGGCTCTGCAGCTGGGGTGACATCCCCAGTGGTTTGTCGCCAAGACCGTGTGGTGGACTTTTCGCCCCCCAAACTGATGAGTCTGGGAGAATGTATGGAGAGAGAAATGTAACAAGGGGAAGGCCTCCTCCCTTCTGATCACACACACAGCCGATAACCAAAGAGATGCTGCAGTCCAGGTCTGAGATGAGCTGGCGTCCAGCTCCCTGCTCCATGGCCAGTCCCTCCCCAACCTGGCAGCCCCTCCAGGCTACACCCAGGAGTGAGCTATGGGGAGCAGGCTGGGAGGCGGCCAGTGCTCTTGCCAGCTGTGCACACACCTCTGTATCCCACTACAGTTCTGTGTTTTTGTATCATGTTGTCAGGGACACCCCATAACAGGGACAAGGACCACTCATAATGTGCCCACTGGACCACAGTTAAGATCCAGCCTCTCCCACCTCTTCAGGGCTGAGTGCATGAGTCTGCACCTCCAGGCAGGCTCTGTGCAGTACTCACCCTCTGTCTGCTCCCTCCAAGGTGTGGGGGTGGGCAGTGCTCAGGGCCTCCTCAGAACCAAAGGACAGCGTGGTTGGCACAGAGGGGGTGCCTGGGCTGGGTGCAGGGCCATCCCATTGCCCTAGAGCTGTGGCTCTGGCAGGAAGGAGGGGCTGTCCCTCTTCTCCCTCCTGGAGATTCCAGGGGATGGGATGCAACTTAAGACTTCTGCCTGAGAAGCCTCCTCCCTGCTACCTCCAGGGGGCACCAAGGCACAAGCCTGTGCCTTGGGGGTGGGAGGGGGTGCGGAAGAGCAGGTCGAGGCTCCTTCCAGCCCAATTGGGCCAGGGCCTTGGCACCTCTGCAGGCCCTGCCTGTGCCTGTCCGCTGACCTGGTGGGCCTGAGTTTTCTGACTCAGGGACCCTGTTGACGCTGACTTGCACCTGCAGTGGCGGCCAATGCTGCCTCTGCTCCAAGCTGCCCCTGTGCCGGGAGGGGTGGGGGCGGTGCCATTGGTCTGGTGCAGCACAGCCCTGGTCAGTGGCCTCATCCCCAATGGGCCTCCTGTGCCTCTGCCAGCAAGGAGGGGCCTGCCAGCTCTGCTTGGACACGGGGCCCCATGTGGGGTCAGGGCATGCGTATGTCACTGGGTTCCAGCCGCTGTTAGAAGTAAAGTCATTTATCATCAAGGCCATATTGCTTATCGCACAGAGTTGGGGATTGGGGAGTGAGCTTGGAGGGGTGAGGGGGTAAGTGTGGGCTCCCTGCATGGGCAGGGGACTGAGGCAAACTCATTCCTCAGAAAAGGGGTATCTTCCCAAAGAAAAGCCTGGAGGGCACTTGTGGAGGGAGGCAGGGGGCGGTGTGGGGTGGTCACTGCTGCTCCAGCACTGACAGGAACTTGCGGATGTCCTGGGCGAGCAGCTCCGGTTCCTCAAAGGCTGCAAAGTGGCCCCCACGAGCCATGTAGGAATAGGAGATGAGCTTCGGGTACTTGAACCTCATCCACTTTTCAGGCGTGTGCATTAGCTCAGAAGGGAAGGCAGAGAAGCCAGTGGGCACGTAGACCTTCATCCTGAAAGCGAAAGAGCCGATGGGGTGCAGGGGAGGCTGTGGCCCTGTGCCTCTCCGTCCTGCACAGCAGGGGGTTCAAGAGCCTGGGGGATGAGATCAGCTGGCCCCCCCACAAGGAGCCATAAAGAAAAGGACAAATCCAGGTCTCAACCGCTCCCCTCACTATCCTCTCTTTTGTGGGAGGGCCACCCAGGCACGGGCATGGGACAGCCTCTAAATCCCCACCTTTGAGGGTCTCCATGTGAGACTTGGAAATCCCAGAACCATCAGTGCCACTCAGACCAGCATCCTGGACTCGGGAGCAGTACTGAGGGCCGCCCGGGAGCCAGGCACGTGGTCCCTCCATGAGGGCTTTCTCCAAACCCCTTGACCTTTAGTGTTCTCATCCAAGGGCCCTGGGGCACCCCTGCAGGCAAGGCTATACTTATCCCACCACCGAGGGCCCTTACTGGAGCTCCAGACTGGCCATCCCCCTGCCTCCAGCCTCAGAGGCCCCTGTTCTCAGTCAGCCAGGCTCACCGCTCATGCTTCTGGGTCATCCAGCCCTGTCCCAGGTTCTCCTTGTAGAAGCGCTGGGAGGAGACGATGGTTGCTGTTGTCCAGTAGAGCATGACGTTGGTCAGCAGGTCATCCAGGGAGAACTTCCTGGGAACACAGAACACAAAGCCCCACTCTTAGTGCCAGATGCAGTTGTGTGACAAAGGGCAGCTGGAAAGTCCTACAAATGCCAGGCCCTGACCATGCGGCTTCCCTCCTCAGACCTCATGCAAGGTGTGTGGTATCCTCATGTCACAGGCAGGCTTTGCCCAGGGCACCAGACTGGAGTGCATGGATTTAATCGAAGTGTCTCTTATCACCCCAAGGTCCTCCCCACACCCACCTTGACTCTACACATCCATCCCCTCTCCCCTGCCACTGACATCTCCTCCCTCCCCTCCACCCCTGCACCATGAAACTGCTCAGGGCATCAGCTACTATGGTGACCACGTACCAGGCAGCATGTTCTAAGCTCCTTACCTTCATTTAATTCATATTTTCCTCTCAATAGCCTATGGGACATAGGTACTATTATCTCCATTTTACTTATTAAGTGGAGAATTCAAACCTGGGCAACTTGGGTCTAGGATGCACACTCCACAGCCCCCACCCCACCTTCCACTGTCCCCAGAGCAGGCGCTCCCAACCCCACCTTCCTCTCTCAAACCCTGGATCTCTAGCAACAGCAGCACGGAGCAGGGGCAGAGATAAAGGGAACAGCCTTTTCCATGTGATTGTGGTGGCAAAATGAAAACGTCAATGAAAACTAGTTCCAGTACACACGCCAACTCTGTGAGCTGGATTTCTGCAAGTCGGCCAAGTGCTTCCATCTCCCTTTCGGCTCTGCCTGCAGCTTGAAAACTACCACCACCACCATTTCCACTCTTGTGTGTTCCGGTTCTTTCTGGAACACAGATCTGATCCTGTCTGCCTCCTGCTCAGGGCTTTGGTGCTCCCTGTAACCTGGGGCCAGAGCTGCAGGAGTGGCCTAGTGGGACAGTCTGGTGGGGCCTCACGTCTGGTTCCAGGTATCCATGTACAAGGAACAGGCCAGACCCCTTGCCAATGTGGTCCTGCAGGAGCTCCATCGACCCCTGGGTCCTGCTGAATGTAGGGCAGGGGAAGCAGATCCCAGAGGAAGGCCCTGCTGAGGCTCTTGGAGGAGGTCAGAACCTGCCTGCAAGAATGAGTTTGCTTGCAATCTGGCCCCAGTGTACCTGCTTCAGCCTCTGGACAAGCCACCCTTTCCAAGCACCCTTTCCTTGCATTTTTTATGGCTTTTCTCTTTGCCTAAATTTCTCTCCTCCATCCAGCAAACTCCTACTCATCCTCCAAGGCCCAAATCAGATACATTCTCCTGGTCATTTCCCCTCTCTGCCGCTTAGACAAAGAGAATCCTCCTTACACTGAACTCTCACAGTCCTTTGTGCATTCATTCAACATCTAGGTACTGGGCTCCCACTGTTCACCCGGCACTGTTCTAGGTGATGGGGCTAGAGCATGGCCAAGACAGAGTCCCTACCCCTAAGGCGGGATTCAGTCTCATTTTACTCTCTTTCTCATCCCCAGCGCTATCTGGTCCTCTGTGTGTCACTGAAGGAATAAAGGGATGGGCCCTGGAAAGGGGGGGTCAGAGCTGACCTTGGTGAAGCCTGAGTCAGGCCACAGAGCTGGGAGTCAGGCATGTAGAGGATACAGCCTTGAAGGCTCTGAGAGATGTAACAGCCTCCTGTCTTTCTGCAACCACCCTCCTGGAACACGCAGTCATGTGACCCTGATGCCAGGTTCTCCAGGGAAGCAGGAGGAAGAGCCCAGATGCTCTTGGCAATAACATGGTGCCTGCTGCCCTCTGGGCTCCCTAATCCCAGAGGGGCCTGTTCAGCAAAGGGAGCACAAGCAGGTGAGCCTGCATCCTAGTCCTGACCATGCACTGTGAGGCTGGGAGCAACTCACCAGGCCGCCTCACCCGAAAAATGCAGCTATGTTGGTCATGGGGTGAGGATTTGTAAGAAAGTCAACAATAGAATTTGGTGAGCACCCCATGCAGAGCAACCAGACAAGGGGATGAAGAGGGTGAGGAGGTTGGCTGCTGGGACCAGGGTCACAACTGCAGGGGCAAACCAGGGTCTCACCTTTCCAGGCCTCCATCCTCCAGGTATCGGAATTCCGTATTGGTCCAGGTGGAAAACTTCTCTAGAATATAGGCAGCCAGACCCACAGGAGAGTCATTCAGTGCAGAGCCTGGCGTGGAGGGGAGCAAGGGAGAGACTCAGGCCTGGGGACCAGGGAGCTGGAGCTTCATGTGTGACATGTGGCACTGGCCACAGAGGGCGGGGCTGTGGGCAGGAAGCCACGTTCGAGCACAGGTCTGCCCTAACTCCTGGGTGCTCACACGCTTCACTTCCTTAACTCTCTGCCTTGGCATCCTCATCTGATAAACAGCGACGATACCTTCCCACTGTCTCCTGGGGCCTCGCACACTGCCTGCTTAGCTTCCTTCAAATGGAAGGGCCCATGCCTCTGCATTTGGTGGGGTCCCAGTGAGAAGTGCTGTTTTTAAAAAGGTGGGGTTTTTCAGTCTGTGTGTTCTGATTCATGAAAAATGAGAAGCCACCTAAAAAAGTCTAAAATAAGGGATCAGTTACAAATAAATATTGATATAATCATAAGCCAAAATACTGTACAGTCATTAAAAATGGCTGGGACAGGCTGGGGGCGTTGGCTCATGCCTGTAATCCCAGCACTTTGGGAGGCCAAGGAGGGTGGATCACTTGAGGTAAGGAGTTCAAGACTATCCTGGCTAACATGGTGAAATCCCGTCTCTACTAAAAATACAAAAAAATTAGCCAGGCATGGTGGCGATGCCTGTGATCCCAGTTACTTAGGAGGCTGAGGCAGGAGAATTGCTTGAACCCAGGAGGCGGAGGTTGCAGTAAGCTGAGATCATGCCACTGCACTCCAGTCTGGGCGACAGAGCGAGACTCCATCTCAAAAAAAAAGAAAAAAGGCCGGGCGCGGTGGCTCAAGCCTGTAATCCCAGCACTTTGGGAGGCCGAGACGGGCGGATCACGAGGTCAGAAGATCGAGACCATCCTGGCTAACACGGTGAAACCCCGTCTCTACTAAAACTACAAAAAAACTAGCCGGGCGAGGTGGCGGGCGCCTGTAGTCCCAGCTACTCGGGAGGCTGAGGCAGGAGAATGGCATGAACCCGGGAGGTGGAGCTTGCAGTGAGCTGAGATCCGGCCACTGCACTCCAGCCTGGGCGACAGAGCAAGACTCCGTCTCAAAAAAAGAAAAAAAAAAAGAAAAAAAAAAGTAGCCTGGGACAAGCTGGGTGTGGTGGCTCACACCTGTAATCCCAGCACTTAGGGAGGCCAAGGTGGGTGGATCACCTGAGGTCAGGAGTTCGAGACCAGCCTGGCCAACGTGGTAAAAACCCCATCTCTACTAAAAATACAAAAAATTAGCCAGGTGTGATGGTGGGTGCCTGTAATCCCAGCTACTTGGGAGGCTGAGGCAGGAGAATTGCTTGAACCTGGGAGGCGGAGGTTGCAGTGAGCCGAGATTGCACCATTGCACTCTAGCCTGGGCAACAGAGCAAGACTTGGTCTTAAAAAAAAAAAAAAAAAAAAAAATTTGGCTGTGACAACAGCATAGATGAATCTCACAAACATAATATTGAGCAAAAGAAGCCAGACTCAGGGGTACATACTCTGTGATTCTATTCACAGAAGGAGTTAAACAGGCACAACCAAAACCATCTCAGTCAGAAGTCAGAGCATGGTGCCTGGGAGAGAACCCTGAGGGGCATCTGGAGTGTTGGGGCCATGTTGGTGATATGGATATACTTGACTTGTAAAAATTAATCACCAAAATGTTCACAAGTTCTTTTGAAGGAGAGGGGATGTGGGGAGGGAGGAGAGGTTATACGAGATTGCCTTTAATGTTTTGTACTTTTGCATTTTTAATCTTTTTGACAATGAACATGTATTTTATAATCAGAGAAAAATACTGATTTTATAAAGTGCCATTATTATGATTACGAGCTGCCTCGTGTGTGTGGGCATGGGACCGCCACGAAAACTATAAAGAACCTAAAAATGGGCAAGACAATTCCTGGGTGTCTTCTGAACAAGATCTAGGGAGTTATCTAGCAGACCTTCCGGACTTACGTGATTCTATAGAATTCCCATCTTTCCTTATCATTGAGCTATTTTACAGTTCTGTGAATTGTAGAGAACTGAGGGTAATGGGAATGACTCGTTCATACAGGCAAATGAATTTTGTCCCATGGCGATTTAATTGATATTACTCTGTGGATGTTGACAAGTTTTGTGTCTGTCAGCACATTAATTTCAGTGTTATTTGTCTTTGAATTGTTTCTTTTTAAAATTTTACTGGTTCCTTTATAAATTTATCTTTTTGAAAAAGTTTTGTCCTTTAACAGGACCCTGGTGGCAGATGTGGTTGCTGGGCCCTCCCTCACTGCCTGGGAACCTCTTCCCCAAGGCCCCAGGGCACCCTCTCCCCTCTCCCCTGCAGCCCAGAGCTGCCCACCCCCAGGATTCCTCCTACCCCAACCCCTCCATCCCTCTGCTTCTCAGTGTAGAATATAGACTCAGGGGTGGGAGATCAGGGGTGAAAGCCACTATGAATACTGAGTCGGCTAAACAGAGTTGCTAAATTGGCCTGGGAATCTGCTGAGAGTCCATCCTCTTGATTTTATGGGAAAATGCAGTTTAAAGATCTAAAGGGCTGGGAGGTCCTTATAAGAGGCTTTCTCCTGTGGGCAGCATTGGGGTGGGGTGCTGAGGTTCCCCCGCGGGGTCTCGCCACCCCAGTGGAGCCAGCAGTGGGCGAGGCCCCCTGAGCATGCTCACCCACGGTGTCGGGCTTGGTGCACTGGATGTGCATGTAGCCGCTCTCCCTCATCAGGCTGTAGAAGACCTTCTCCTTGACAGGGTACAGCAGCTCCATATCCCTCTCAGTGTAGCCAAGAAACCTCCCGAAACGCCGTCCCAGGAGAAGGGTCAGGGTAGAGAAGTTGCTTAAAACCAAAGCCATGTTCAAGTGCAGGCCTTTCACGTGGCTGAGGGCAGAGAGAGGGGCCCAGGTGAGGCTGGGGTGGTGTCAAGGAGAGCGGGAGAAGAGAGATGGCGGAGGAGGAACAGGCCTCAGGGTTGAGGAGTGAGCACAGGGCCAGCCTCTTTCAGCACCAGCCCCACTGGGGAGGCCATGGGAGTTGGAGGAGGGAGGTTGGGGGAAAAATAGTTTCTGGGGAGTTCTGCTCAGGGCTGTCCCAGAGCTTGGTCCAGCAGAGGTCTAAAGCCTGACATTCCCCTCCTATCACAGGCCTTCTCTGCCTGGGAACCTGGCCCAGAGCCGCAACCCTGGGTTACAGACAGGAAAATCCAAGTCAACATGCCTCAGGCACTGCTGAGTGACAGTCACACTCCCTCCTCTCCCCTGGGGGGACCTTGGCCTCCCGTGCACAGAGGTCCATCTCTTAGAGGACACACACAAACACACACACACCACCCCGACAGTGACCTCACCTGGGCACCAGCTGGGCCATATTGGTGCAGATCAGGGCCCCCCAGTCCCCTCCTTGAATGTAGAATTCCTGGAAGCCCAGCCGCAGCATCAGCTTGTAAAAGATCCTGGCGGTGGCCACCGAGTTGAACCCTGGCGGTGATGGGGAAAGGCATGGAGTCACAGGCAGATTGCTCCATGGGCCCTCTAGGTGTTCTATGAAATTTCTCAGGCCCGCCTCCTCCCAGGTGGAGGTGAGAAAAGCTCACAGAGGCAAGAAGGAATCCTGGAGCCCAAACGTAGGGGTGGCATCTCCAGCCCTGGAGGGTAGTGTGTCTGGGGCCAGCCTCTCTGGTCCCTCTTTTCCCAGCTTCCTAGGGCCAACTCCCTGCTCACCCTCCCGGAAGGAGAGCCTGATGGGAACATCCGGCCCACCCTTGGCAAGGACGGGGCAGTTATGGAGGCTCTAGCAGCCCCATACCCTTCTTGGAGGATGCCTCTGAAAAGCCATAGCCAGGGATGGAAGGGCAGATGACTTCAAAAACGTGCTCATCGCTCAGGCCATGGTTCTTGGGGTCAGTCAGGAGTGGAATGATCTTATAAAACTCGTAGAAAGAGCCAGGCCAGCCATGCACCATCAGCAAGGGCTTCGGGGTACGGCCTGTGGACAGCTGGGGGGGCTTCACATGGATGAAGTGGATGTCCAGCCCTGGGGGAGAGAGCACAGTCAGGGTGGAGGGAGAGAAGGCCCTGTGTGGTCAGGCTCTGGCACCCCCCAGAACCTGGATATTGAGTACTGCCAGCCTTAGTGCCCCCGCCCCCGCCACCCCTCATGGTATTGATGACAGTAATGGCTGACACTGGTTTCATAGTCACACGGTGCTCCAGGTGCACAGATGTCCTCACTCAGCCTTTACAACCTCCCTGCAAGGGAGCTACGATTATTGCCTCCCGGTTTCCTTAGAGGTGCCCCCTGATGGCAGGGCCAGGTCTGTACAGGCACTGCTGGGTTTCCAGGGCTCAGGACAGCTCCTGGCTCACACCAGGCCTCCATAAATACTTGGTCTATAATTTAAAATCTGGAGGGTAGGGAGAAAGCCCCACATATCCAGCAATACAGGATTAATCAAGTATAGTTTGACAGTATACTGGAGTCCAATTCAGTCATCTAAATGGGCAGGGTAGATGTATATTTATTTAACATAGAAAACAGATCAGTAGATATTACTGGGAGGTAAAAGCAAATGATCAAGTCATATCCATTGTGTGACCCAGTTTCTGTAAAGTCATCTATGCGTATACTGTTGTTATACCACATATTGGTGAGTTTTTAAAATTTGGGAATGTAAAAAGCAGTTCTCTCCGAGCAGTAGATTCCAGTGCTTTTAATTTCTCTTTGAGTTTTATGTACTTTCCATTTTTTCTACAATGAACAGGTATTAAATGCATAACTTTTTTCATACACGGTGACAAAATGTTACCTTTTTCTAATTACCAAATGACATTTTCTTTAAAGTGGAAGATTTTTGGGCCTGGTGTGATGGCTCACGCCTATAATCCCAGCACTTTGGGAGGCTAAGATGGGCAGATCACCTAAGGTCAGGAGTTCGACACCAGCCTGGCCAACATGGTGAAACCCCGTCTCTACTAAAAATACAAAAAAATTACCCGGGTGTGGTGGCAGGCGCCTGCAATTCCAGCTACTCGGGAGGCTGAGGCAAGAGAATCACTTGAACCTGGGAAGCAGAGGTTGCACTGAGCCAAGATCACACCACCACACTCTAGCCTGGGCAACAGAGCAAGACTCCATCTCAAACAATTAAAATAAAGTGGAAGTTTTTTTTTTTTTTTTTAAGTGCAATGCTGGAAACATCATCATAGCCAAGGGCAGGTGAATGGATTCTGGTCTCCTCTGGACTGACTTGGGGCCTCTGTATATCAAAAGAAGGCAGCCCCTTCCCAGGCTAGTGCCCTGGACAGCAACTGGGCCCTTACGGCACTCACAGTGAGGGTGGCTGCCATGCCTGGAACCCTCTGCCACCAGGGCTGGTGCAGTCAGCGTGGCGTAGCTAACGTTCTGTTCTGTCGTTAATATATTATATAAATAATACATGTTTACTGTAGAAAACTCAGAAAACACAGATAAGCCAAAGGGGGAAGACTCACATGTAATCCCACTCTCAAGAGACAACATGGTGTTGTCTGTCTAAACTTTATTTTGGAACAGTTTTAGATTGCTGAAAAACTGCCAAGAGTCCAGAAAACTCCCATATACCTCAAACCCACCAGGTTTCCTCCATTATTAATATTTTATGTTAGCATGGAACATTTATTACAATTAACAAACCAGACTGAGATATTATTAACTATAAAGTCCATAGTCTGATTTCCTTAGTGTTTACACTTATTATATGGCGAGAACACTTAATATGGGTCCTACCCTTTTAACAGATTTGTAAATGCCCAACACTGATGGCGCTCTGCTGTACAGCACATCTCTAGGATGTCTTCGGCTGGCAGGACTCAAACTTTACACAGCAACTATCAGCAACACCGTTTCCCCTATTCCCTAACCCCTGACAACCACCCTTCTACTCTCTGCTTCTGTTGAGTTTGACTATTTCAGATTCCTCCTGTAGGTGGAATCATGCGGTATTTGTCCTTCTATCCCTGGTTCATTTCACTTAGCATTATTTCCTCCGAGTTTATTCATGTTGTCACACATTGCAGGATTTCCTTTTCTTCTTCTTCTTCTTTTAGAGATGAGGTCTCACTGTGTTGCCCAGGCTGAAGTGCAGTGGCACCATCATGGCTCACTGCAGCCTCAACCTCCCGGGCTCAAGCAATCCTCCCACCTCAGCCTCCCAAGTAGCTGGGACTACAGGTAGGCAACACCATGTCTAGCTCCTTTTTGTTATTTTATTTTATTTTTTTTGTAGAGATGGGGTCTCTCTATATTGCCCAGGCTGGTCTCAAACTCCTGGGCTCAAGCCATCCTCCCACCTTGGCCTCTCAAAGTGTTGGGATTACTGGTGTGAACCACCACACCCGGCCAGGATTTTCTCCTTTTTAAAACCTGGATAATACTGGTAGCTACACACAACAGAATTTTAGCCAGATTTCCTTAGTTTTTTCCCCTAATGTCCATTTTCTGTTCCAGGATCCCAACCAGGACCCACACTCCACTGAGCTGTCATGTCTCTTTAGACCCTTCTTGGCTGTGACAGTTCAAACTTTTTAAAAAGACTTAGAGAACATAACTTTTAACAAAAATAGAACCATACATACACTCTATTTTAGAACCTCTTTTTTCTTTTTTTTTTTACTTAACAATGTATCCTGGGTGTCCTTCTATGTTGCTAAATTTACTCCTATTCTAAAGTTTATTTTAGTAGGTGATCTTATCTCGCTTGGAACACACTGCATGATGTGAGATTCTTTTTAATTCAAATTCTACCACATTGTCATTTGAGTTTTAAATTAGAGAAAAAATACACATCCACTCTTGTGGATGCGCAGGCTCTCCCAGGACGCACGAGTAAAACATAGCTGCCTCTGGCCGGCACAGGGGCAAGAGGGAGCTGCTTTTCACTATATTTCCCTCTGTGCTTTTCCATTTTAAATATTTGAATTTTTTTTTTTTTTTTTTTTTTTTTGAGGCGGAGTCTCACTCTGTCACTCAGGCTGGAGTGCAGTAGTGTGATCTTGGCTCACTGCAACCTCTGCCTCCCAGGTTCACGCCATTCTCCTGCCTCAGCCTCTGGAGTAGTTGGGACCACAGGCACCCACCACCATGCCCAGCTAATTTTTTGTATTTTTAGTAGAAACGGGGTTTCACCGTGTTAGCCAGGATGGTCTTGATCTCCTGACCTTGTGATCCACCCGCCTCTGCCTCCCAAAGTGCTGGGATTACAGGCGTGAGCCACAGCGCCTGGCCTTTTTTTTGTATTTTTTAGTAGAGACGGGGTTTCACCATGTTAACCAGGATGGTCTCGATCTCCTGACCTCGTGATCCGCCTGCCCCTTGGCCTCCCAAAGTTCTGGGATGACAGGTGTGAGCCACCGTGCCTGGCCTAAATACTTGAATTTTAAAAATTAAGACTTTTTAAAAATAGAGACAGAGTCTCGCTAAGTTGCCCAGGCTGGCCTCAAATTCCTGGCTTCCTCCTGCCTCAGCCTCCCAAAGTGTTGGGATTATAGGCATGAGCCACCAAGCCTTGTCAAGACCTTTTTTTTTTTTTTTTTTTTGAGATGGAGTTTCGCTCTTCTTGCCCAGGCTGGGATGCGATGGCACTATCTCGGCTCAGTGCAACCTCTGTCTCCCTGGTTCAAGCGATTTTCCTGCCTCAGCATCCCGAGCAGCTGGGACTACAGACATGTGCCACCACGCCTGGCTAACTTTCATATTTTTAGTAGAGACAGGGTTTCACCATGTTGGCCAGGTTGGTCTTGAACTCCAGCCATCACGTGATCTGCCCGTCTTGGCCTTCCAAAGTGCTGAGATTACAGGCGTGAGCCACCACACCCGGCAAGACATTTTTTAAAAGCCCACAGCTCATAGTTTGCCTCATGGGTCCGTTTCCCTTTGTGGGAGGAAATACTCTTTCTGACTTTCCCTATAGGTCTGTAGCACCCATAGGATGCTCCATGACAGGGCTGCTGGGTTAGCATCCCGGAGCTGAGGAGGGCTCAGGATGGCAGTGCTGGGCTTGGAGGGGAAGAGGCAAGGGGGTGGGGTATTGGGTGTCAGGGCCAAGGGTAAAGGAAAAAGGGGCAGGCAGGGAGTCTGGAGACCTGGTGCCTCAGGCAGTTCCCTTCTTCCTGGATGTGATGGGGTTGGGCTTATCCAGAGGTCTCTGACACTTTTGTCAGCTCTCAGACTCTGAGGACAGCATCTGGTCTCCTGCGGTGGGAGGCCCAGGATGTGGGACAGATCTGGAAGCTCAGCATAGAATGAGCAGGGAAGTGGTAGGGGCAGGGAGGCTGAACAGTGAGGCCAGTGTGGATGAGGACAGAACACTGGGGTGGAGGTTGGAGGCTGGGCTATGAGCATCCAGGAGTGCAGGGGTAGTGCAGTGACAGAGAGGACCCTGAAGAAATCCACTGTGAGAGAGAAGAGGGAGGAGGACTTGGACCAACCCCAGCCCAGGACAAGATTCAGGGAGATATTGAAGGTTTGCTAGGCCCACATACCAGAGGCTGCCTACTCAGCACTGTGGGGGGATGGGCAGAGAACGCAGGAATCCAGGCCCAGAGGAGGGACTCCAAACCACAAGGACCAAGGCCAAGAACAGGCCTCCAGCCCTGGGCAGGGTGCCAGAACCATACATGGGTAAGTCCACGATGAATTCAATGCTAGAAACTGGCTCTTTTGGAGCAGTTGTACCTGAGGGAGGTTTTGCACTGTAAACAGCCAATGTCAGCTGGGTGTGGTGGCTCATGCCTGTAATCCCAATACTTTGGGAGGGCAAGGTGGGAGAACTGCTTGAGCCCAGGAGTTTGCGATCAGCCTGGACGACATGGTGAGACCTCGTCTCTATTAACAATGCAAAAAAAAATAATAATAATAAAATAAAATAAATAGCCTAGCTGGGACACTTGGGAAGCTGAGGTGGGAGGATCGTTTGAACTCAGGAGGTTGAGGCTGCAGTGAACTGTGATCACACCACTGCACTCCAGCCTGGGTGACAGAGTGAGACCCTGTCTCTAAAAAAACCCCAGTGTCTTGAGGAACTCTGAAAGGGTCCAGTGGGGTAAGGCTGGCAGCTGCCAGGAGAGAAAGGGCCCTTTAATGCCTCCTGCCTCTGGGCCTTTGAACATGCTGTTCCCCTTTCTTGGACCACCTTCCCCACACACCTGGCAAAGTCCCACTCATTTCAGCTTAGATGCCATCTCCTCCAGGAAGCCTTCCCTCACATTCAAAGGAAGATTGTGGGGCTCATGAAACTCCCAGAACCTCCTCCCTCATAACGCTGCCACCATATGCTATAATTGCCCCGGAAGAACCTATGAGCTGTGAAGGAGGGACCCTGTCCTCCCTATGTGTCCCCAGCCCCAGCAGAATGCCTGGGTACAGCAGGTGCCCTGTTAATTTCTGCTGGATGGACATTGAAGAGCTGGGAAAACACAGGGATCCAAGTCAAACTCAAGGAAGCCAGGCAATTTTGTGCCAGGGATCCAAACAGGAACCTCTGGTAATTGCATACAGCAGTTTGGCTGGGATTAAGTGGCTTGAACCCTCTTGTTAGGCTAATAACAGAAGATATCAAAATCCTGTAAAGAATACAGCAACACTCAAGAGGAGTCCAAATTTGATCCAAAAAATCATTCCAGATTTTTTTTTTTTTTTTTTTTTTTTTTTTTTTTAGTGTTCTTGGCTGAGCTCCAGGAAGGGCTCTAGTTCCAGGACACACATCACTGGGACTTAGCTTTTCTCTGACTCCGTCTCCCTCAGGCCTGGCCCGCTTGCATCAGGAGAACAAGGATGTTTGCTGCCCAGGCAAGGATGTTTGCTGCCAAGTCAAGGTTTCCATCCATCCTTCCTTTCTCCCTTTCTTTCTGAGATAGGGTCTTACTCTGTCACCAGGCTGGAGTGCAGTGGCGCGATCTCAGCTCACTGCAACCTCCGCCTCCCTGGTTCAAGCAATTCTCTTGCCTCAGCCTCCCGAGTAGCTGGGATTACAGGCACATGCCACCACACCCAGCTAATTTTTGTATTTTTAGTAGAGACGGGGTTTCACCATCTTGGCCAGGCTGATCTTGAACTCTTGACCTCGTGATACACCTGCCTCGTCCTCCCAAAGTGCTGGGATTACAGGTGTGAGCCACCCCCCCTGGACCGGGTCTAAATCTCATCTCCATCCTTCCTCTCAAAGACTGCCACATCATTGGACTGGACGGTGCATTTCTTTGGTTTTTAAATTGCATGTATGTGTTCCTGCCTAGCTCTAAAGATGGACAGATTGGCTGTGACTGCAATATTTTTGCATTTAGTAAGGTTACAACTTATAAGTACACCTCAGTGACCCAAAATTGGGTTCTGAATCTCTCCAACTTTATCTGACTCTAAGTTACATTGTGCAAGAAGGCGTTCTTATGACACACATCCCTCTCTGGCTGGCGTTTTGCAAACATACCTTCAATCTTAGTCTTGAAGTGAGGGTATCTATTGAGAATCTCCACCTGCTTCTTCCAGTCGAATTCATTCCGCCAGTAGGAGATGACTTTCTTCAGGTAGTTGGAGTTGAAGCCATAGTGGAAGCAGCTGTCCTCCAAAGGTGGGGTGAAACGGAACTTATCGATCCTCTGGTGTAAGTCCTGGAGCAAAATGCAGGACCCCAAGTTGAGAGGGATGGGTAGGGCAGGGCACAAGAGCAAAGTTGGTTTCCAGAAAACACAGCAAACCCTGCAGCCACAAGACACTGCACTCTGGTAGTGGCAAAGCAGTTTCCCACATCACTGTCTGCTCCCAAAGCGGATGTGTTCTTCCCTTCTTCCTTCTTCACTGTAGACTTCGCATTTCTTTTTTTTTTTTTTTTTTTTTTTTTGACAGGGTCTCACTCTGTTGCCCAGGCTGGATCAGTGGCGTGATCTCGGCCCACTGCAACCCCCACCTCCCAGGTTCAAGCAAGTCGTGCCTCAGCTCCCAGAGTAGCTGGGATTACAGGTGTGAGCCACCATGTCCAGCTAATTTTTGCATTTTTAGTAGAGATAGGGTTTTGCCATGTTGGCCAGGCTGGTCTTGAACTCCTGGCTTCAAGTGATCTGTCTGCCTTGGCCTCCGAAAACAGTGGGATTACAGGTGTAAGCCACTGCGCCCAGCCCATCTTTTACTCTTTAAGTGTATAATTTACCCAGGTTTCCCTATAGCGGGAGTCGGCAAACTTTTTCTGTAGAGGGCCAGATAGTAATATTCTAGGCTTTGCAGGCTGCAGTGACTCCACTCTTCTTCCTAGTGTGAAGGCAGCCACAGCCAATGCACAGATGAATGGGGGTGGCCGTGTTCCAATAAAACTTTATTTATGGACAGCCATAGCCAATGCACAGATGAATGGGGGTGGCTGTGTTCCAATAAAACTTTATTTATGGACACTGAAATCTGACTGCTATATAATTTTCACATGTCACAAACTATTATTCTTCTTTTGATTTTTTTCCCCCTAACTATTTAAAGAGGTAAACACTATTCTTGGCATAGGGGTCATGCTAAAACAGGTAGCAGGCTACATTTGGTCTATGGGCCATGGTTTCCTGACCCCTGATATACAACACTGAATGATACATTATAACTCAGTTGGGATAAAAATTACAGGCCAGGCCCAGCACAGTGGTTCACGCCTGTAATCCCAGTGCTTTGGGAGGCTGAGGTGGGTGGATCACCTGAGGTCAGGAGTTCAAGACCAGCCTGGCCAACATGGTGAAACCCCATCTCTACTAAAAATACAAAAATTAGCTGGGCATGGTGGAAGGTGCCTGTAACCCCAGCTACTCGGGAGGCTGAGGCAGGAGAATCGCTTGAACCCGGGAGGTGGAGGTTGCAGTGAGCCAAGATTACACCACTGCACTCCAGCCTGGTGACAGAGCCAGACCCTGTCTCCAAAAAATAAAAAATTTACAGACCAGGAGAGAGGGTGCAAGCCTCATGGGCATGTATTAGGCTAAAAGGCCAGCCCCAGTGGGAGGAAGTTCATGTCAGCTTAGGGAGCCTCTCAAGTGTCACTATCCTCAGGCTTCTTCTCAAGTGTTTCAGTCACCCCCGAACAGATTTTGGAAATCTCAGACTCCCTTAGGAGTCTAATTCCATAAAGGAGTTTTCCTCAAGACTCAGCTTTGGCCCTAAATAGCAAGGCTGCAGCAAGAAAGTCCTACCCAGGGAGCCTCAGCCTGGCGGTTCTTGGGGTTAGCCCAGCTTCTGCTTTTAAATCCCTTCTTCCTTGGAACTCTCATGACTTTTTATCCATGCTTTTTGTGACATTTATCCTTATCCATCTTTTTTTTTTTTGAGACGGCGTTTCACTCTTGTTGCCCAGGCTAAAGTGCAGTGGTGCGATCTTGGCTCACTGCAGCCTCTGCCTTCTGGGTTGAAGGGATTCTCCTGCCTCAGCTTCCCGAGTAGCTGGGATTATTATAGGTGCCCGCCACCATGCCCAGCTAATTTTTTGTATTTTTAGTAGAGACGGAGTTTCACCATGTTGGCCAGGCTGGTCTTGAACTCCTGACCTCAGGTGATCCACCCACCTCGGCCTTCTAAAGTGTTGGGATTACGGGTGTGAGCCACCGCACCCAGCCAATCCTTATTTATCTTTTAGTCTACTTTTCTTTGTGCACATTCCTTTTCTCATTCACTGGACTGCTGTTGGATGGAAGGGGCTCTCTCTTTTCCCAAGCACTCACTGGGCCTGCACACAGTAGGTGCTCAAAACCCACAGAATGAAAGAAAGGATAGGCAGGGCCATGCCAGGCCTGCCTACCGTCCTGTCCCCAACTTGAGCCTTGCTCCTCCCTGAGGTTGCATTCTCAGGTCACCCCACCTGCCCAGTCACCTCCTTCCTGACTCTATCCCTGTGCAGAGGAGGGGCAGCGGCTTCAGGGTTAGACCTGACTTCAAATCCTTCCGCTTGTTAGCTAGGCCGCCTTGAACAAGTTGCTTTATGCCCCTGAGCTTCAGCTTCTGCATCTGCAGGATGGGAACAACAGTCCTCACCCCGCGGGATCACCACAGGGATTGAATGTGACCAGGAATGGCTGACACACAGCGGTTGCCTAAGCAGCAGCATCCCTGCCTGCCTTCTCAGTGCTTCCTGGGTCTCTGACGGTGGAAACCTGCTCACTTTCTCCCACAACCTCACTCCCAAGGCTTCAGGTAGGGCATAGAGGAGGTGATGACGGCTGCTTTCTGTGACCTTTGATGCAGGTAACTGAGTCTGCTGGCACCCCATCTCCTGCCTGAGCACTGCTGGGCCTCGGATAGGGAAAGGAGAAGAGACAAAGTGGGAGGGCTCGGTATCCCTCTCCAAAGCAACCTGCACCTGCCCAGCAAGGGAAAAGCAGACTGAAACACACTCCCAAGTAGGATGGACCATTCCCAAGCCCCCATCCCCTCCCGCATCTGGCCTAAGACCCAACCCCTGTCTCCGAGACACCACCCTCTCCACTGCCCAGTCCAGCCTGGCCCAAGGTGCCTTACGTGGATCTCCTCATCTGACGTTTCCACCTTGAAAGGGTGGATGCTCTCGTCCTCCCTGCCTGCGGGCCTCGTGCCTGGGCCCCACCACCCATCTTCAAGTGGCAAAGTTTCCTCTTTGTCCCGGGAGATGAACCAGTAGATGGCAAAGCCCAGCACTGAAGTCAGGAGGATTTCTAGCCACATGGCTCCTGCAAAATGGGGGATGTCATTAGTAACGGAGCCTGCCCAGCCCTGACAGCTCAGAGACTCCGATTCGCAGCAGGCTCTTTCCTGCTGCACTCCAACCCCGTCCCTGATTTTATTTACGTTTGACCGTATATATATTATATGTATAACATATAATACATATAATATATGTGATATAATATATAATATATATGTGATATAACATAATATATTATACATGTTTTATTATATGTTATATGTTATATTATATTATATATGTTATATTACATATTATATTATAAATTGTTATATATAATATATATTATATAATATATACACACTATATACCTACTATATATAGTATATGTAATATATATATGAGATATAGAAAAATGGAAAAACAACAGACAATGAGACAAAATCACCCACAATCCTACTAAGCTTTGAAAATTGTTCATCATCCTGGGAAAACAGGAACCTAGATTGGCTTCTGCACAGTCCTGGGTAGGGGGTTTTGGGAGCTGCATTTCTGAGGCCTCATTTTTTTTTTTTTTTTTTTTTTTTGAGATGGAGTCTTGCTCTGTTGCCCAGGATGGAGTGCAGTGGCACAATCTTGGCTCACTGCAACCTCTGCGTCCCGGGTTCAAGCAATTCTCCTGCCTCAGCCTCCCGAGTAGCTGGGACTAGAGGCACGTGCCACCATGCCCAGCTAATTTTCGTATTTTTAGTAGAGATGGGGTTTCACTGGCCAAGGATGGTCTCGATCTCTTGACCTTGTAATTCGCCCGCCTTGGCCTCCCGAAGTGCTGGGATTACAGGCATGAGCCACTGTGCCTGGCGGCCTCATGTCTGAGAAGGCTTCTGTCCACACCCTCTGGGCTCCCTCCCCCAGGGGAGAGGAGCAACTTTCCTGAGTGGTGGCCCACAGCCCCTGCTCTGTCTCTCTTGTAGAGGGGCTCATCCTCAGGGCAGACAGGGGTAATGGGGAGGCCCAAGTGCTGGGAGAGTAAGTTCAATTTAGGGTTGGGGGACACTGCTAGGAAGCCCAGCCATGGCCACACATCTTAGCTGTATGTGTAAGAGCTTTACTGAAACATAATTCATATACCATACAATTTGCCCATTTAAAGTGAACACTCCAATGGTTTTGAGGATATTCAGACATGTGCAACCATACCCACAGTCAACTGTAGAACATTTTCATCAGCACAGAGAAATTCCATACCCTTCAGCTGTCGCTCCTCCACTGCCCCCCCACGTTAGGTCCTAAGCAGACTCTAATGTACTTTCTGTGTCCATAGAGTTGCCTATTACATTTCACATCAACTCAGTTGTGTTTTAATCCCCATTTGTCTGACTCCTGTGTCTTTTTTGCTCAGAAAGTGAAGAAACCTTAGTCTCAGCAAAGCACGATCAGGCAGATACCAGCCCAGCATTGTTATCTAGCTCCTCATCTTCCTCATTCCTAGGCAAGTAACCCACAGACTGTTCTTGTTCAGAGTAACCTGCATGAATATGCAGGCCGTCCTTATGCCTGAGTCAGAGGAGGTTCTCTGGACGCAGTGCAGTTAGGACCCAGGTGGAGGAGAAAGCATTGAGTTTTGACAAGGTCCCTGCAGACCACCCCCCGGCAGCGCCCCTGACTCTGTCTTGGAAACCCAAGGCAGGAGGTGGTCCCTGCTGGGAACCCCACCACTTGTATGCTCCATTGGCTGCTACATGTCAGATGTCTGGGACTCTGCTGGGGGGTTGCAGAGGCCCTGGAGTTTGCTCCAGTCAAGAGCTGCCCCTCTAAACCTAGAATTGGGCCACTGGGGGTCGTTCTAAGAAATACTTGTCCACAGTGGTCCAGAGATAGAGCTCCAAACAAATCCACCCAGGGCAATGGCTCTCATCTTATTCCTGCAGTTCTGTAGGAAATCTAATCAGGAAAATCAGCTTGGCACCCCCGACCTCCCTGTTTCTATTAGTGATCCCAGTGAACTCCCAGCTTCCCACCCTCAGGCCCTAGAGTCATCCGATTCTTCCCCCACAGACCATCACCAAGTCCTGATGCCATCAGATTCAGCCCCCTGCGTGCCTTGCCCCATCCCCTGGACCAGAGCCCTTATCACCCCACATGTGATTATCGAGACACCTTTCAAGAGAGGAAACCCACAACCCCATCTCTCATAGTCACCAGCACACTTCTTAGAACCCACTGCAAGGCTGGGCACGGTGGCTCAAGCCTGTAATCCCAACACTTTGGGAGGCCGAGACGGGCGGATCACGAGGTCAGGAGATGGAGACTATCCTGGCTAATACGGTGAAACCCCGTCTCTACTAAAAAATACAAAAAACCTAGCCGGGCGAGGTGGCGGGCGCCTGTAGTCCCAGCTACTCGGGAGGCTGAGGCAGGAGAATGGCGTAAACCCAGGAGGCGGAGCTTGCAGTGAGCTGAGATCCGGCCACTGCACTCCAGCCTGGGCGACAGAGCGAGACTCCGTCTCAAAAAAACAAAAAACAAAAAAAAAAACCCACTGCAGCCTTCTTCCTGGTAACCATGTCCAGGTGTCCACCCTTGAACTTTCAATACATCTCCCTCTCTGGATTGTGAAACTCTGAAGTGCCTCAAGGCCTCACTGATCAATGTTTACTCAGTCTACCATGTGCCAGGGTGCAGGCCTTCACTATCCCTGCCAGAGACATGTGGGACACTTTGATGCCTGTTCCATCTCCAGCCACGCCAGGCCATTGCTTTTTTTAAATTATTATTTTATTTTTATTTTTATTTTATTTTATTTTTGAGACAGAGTCTCAGAGAGTGCAGTGATGCGATCTCGGCTCACTGCAACTTCTGCCCCTGGGTTCAAGAGATTCTCGTGCTTCAGACTCCTGAGTAGCTGTGATTACAGGTGCATACACCACCTCCTGCTAATTTTTGTATATTTAGTAGAGACAGAGTTTCACCATGTTGGCCAGGCTGGTCTCAAACTCCTGACCTCAAGTGATCTGCCCACCTTGGCTTCCCAAAGTGTTGGGATTAGAGGCACGAGCTGCCATGCCTGGTCCTATGGCTTTCATCTTTTAATTCCAAGCAGCAGTAGTGCCTGGGCCCCAAAGACCCTATGTCAGCTGATCAGATGGGCAGCTGGGAGCACACTTCCACAATAAAAACAAGGCAGGGAACAGCTGGAAATGAGTTCCTCTTATTTTAAGGAATTCAGAAAAGAAAAGACATACATCAGCTTCTTTTACTTCCAGAAAGACGTTATGTCTCTGCCAGGAAATCCTGCCCTTTAAGAAGATGGAGAAATGTCAGCTACAAGCTCCTGTGGTATTGAAAGCAGGACTAGGTGTTAGGGACTGGGAGACACATGGGAGCGTGTGGGAGGCAGCCAAAGGCAGAGAGCAGAGCTTCACCCAGCAACAGGAGCAGCTGAAGACACTTCACCGGGCAGGCAGATCCCACCACAATAAACCATAGCTTGGGAAGGCAGAGTTGTGCCCGTCCTGGGTACCGCCTTGACCCCCAGTGCCCAGCACTGGTCATTGGCCCAGCACAGCGAGGCGCTCCACTAATATTTGTGCCAACTGCATATGCACTAGAAGCCAGGAAGACACATTTTGCATGATGTTGTCAAGGAGGCTGCGAGCAGAATGAACAATAAAGAAAGATCACCCTCCCCAGTGAACCCTCCTTACCTGCACTTCAGCACAGGGAGGAGCGCCGCTGTCGCTTCCCTCTAGGATATAAATGTGCAACTTTCCCCTTTCTGGGCAGAAAGATCCCAATGCCTTCACCTGTCCCCCAGGCTCCACGTTCTCACCCTCGATCACTCCTTGGGAAAGAGAGCTGTGGAGCTCTGCACCTGGCGATGCTCTAGGCGCCTGTGAGAGAGGCAGGGCAGGCTGCAGGCACTGGCCCCCACTCCCCACGGCCTTTTGACAACTGCACAGTCCTGCCAACTCAGCCAGTCTCATGTGTGCACAGCGTGGTTATCTCCCCTGGACTTTGCACAGCAAACTGAACCACGTTGACCTGAGAGATACAGTGCTGAAATGATAAATGCTCGAGTCTCATCTAAAAGAAGGGAATCTGGGACAAGGGGCATTATGATGGCCCCCACCAGCACTACCAGGGGTATCACCCAGGAAAAGGAGAGCAAAGTGACAGATTCAAAGAGAAATTTAAAAACACGATCTCTTGCATTCTAATTAAGATAACAAGAATATTAGTACTTGGCTCAAGGATGGTGCCTTACAGCCACTGATCTCAGATTACAAATAGGCTCCACTGCAGTGTGTTACTTTGCCACCTAGTAACAGCCCTTTATTTAATAGCAGGTATTTAATGAATGAAAGAAAGGTGTTCTTGATTAGCCTGGTGTGACAGCAGGTGTTGACTCTGTGTGGATGGGTTTTCAACCCCACTGCCGCCTTGCGTTCCCACGTGAACAGTCCTTCTCCTTGCTGCAGGCAGTGTTCACTTTCACCAGCCCAACCCCAGGAAGCCCACCCTGAGAAGGACGGAGGGGGTCACTATGACTCCACACCCGCCGTCTGCTTTGTCGGAGAGCTGGCCAGGCCGAGTGGCGCCCTCTTGACTGAGCCTCAAACCTTTGCTTTCCTCTTCAAATAAAGCCGTAGCCCTGGCGAAGGAGCTCAGAGGCCTGATGGCAGCCTGCTGGGCGCTTGGCACTTCCTAGACCCTGGTACCTGTAATCCATGGTACATGCAAATCCACCCACTAAAGAGCCACAATTCATCAAACTTGACTTTCCTTTTCACTTACTTAAGGCAAGAATCAGAGTAGGCAAGGGCCTTACCGTAAATCACACTGCAGTTGTGAGGATTAGAATCTGTGACCACAGAACTCACTCCTGGTCTGTCACTGGGCGTGTTGCACCCCACCTCCCCTTCTTGTTCCCTCTCAGCACCTGTTTGCAGCCTTGAGTCTTCAGGCCAGAAAGGACTCCTAGAGCACAGATCAGCCACTACTGCCTGGGAGCCACGGACGTCTCCCAGGCCTCATAGCTTTTCTCAAAAAAATGTAATAATAAGAAACAACACTCTCCCTGTACTGGTGGGTCAGCCAGTCCTGGGAAGAGCTGCAGGGGCTCTTAGAGTCTGACCAATCAGAGTCCAGGCACCCACTCTCTATCTGCCTGACCCTGCCCACACACTCTGCAGCTCGAGGCAGGGAGAAGTGCAGATGCACACTGCCCAGGTAGGGAGGGTCTAGGGAGTGCCAGGCACCCAGCAGGCTGCCCTCAGGCCTCTGGGCTCCCTCGCCAGGGCTGCGGCTTTATTTGGAGTAAGGGGAAAGCAAAGGTTTGAGGCTCAGTCAAGAGGGCACCACTCGGCTTGGCCAGATCTCCGACAAAGCAGACAGGGCTGTGGAGCCGTGGAGACTCCCTCCGTCCTCCGCAGGGTGGGCTTCCTGGGGTTGGGCTGGTGAAAGCGAACATCCCCCACAGTGAGAAGGACTGTTCACGTGGGAACCCGAGGTGGCAGAGGACCTGGGGTGGGCTGGGGAGGGGGTGGCACTAGGTAGATGACAGAGCCCTCCCCTCCCTCTCATGGCCTCCCTCTCTCACTCAGCAGACGAGCACTCAGAGGACGAGCAGGGCTGCATCACCCCTACATCCACCGGGTGGGCCAGCTGGTAAGTCACTGCCACTGGGCATGGAAGCTGGAGAGGAACTCAGCAGCCTCCAGTCCAAACCCTGCTCCACAGCCAGGGAAAGAGGGGGCCGAGGAGTGACTGAGTCTGGGGAGGCTTGGTGGCCAACTTGGGCGATGCCATTTAAGGAGCCAGCCTGCGTTTCCTGGAGACTCCCCATCCCATGGCTCCCCCGAAAACAGCAACTCTGACGACCTTTGGCTTTAGAAATGAAAATATCTTGGAGGTTACAATGAGAGGGCTTTGGCCCAGTGTGGTAGCTCATGACTGTAATCCCAGCACTTTGCAGATCCAAGGTGGTGAATCACATGTGGTCAGGAATTCAATATCAGCCTGGGCAACATAACAAGACCCTCATCTTAAAAAAAAAAAAAAAAAAGTAATAAAGGGGTTTCTCGCTTGCTTTCCTCTTTGGGTAGTTCAAATCTCGGCTCCACTATTTATTAGTACTAGTTGAGGGGCTCTGGGCAAGTTATGAAACCTCTCTGAGCTCAGTAGCTGCATCTGTAAAATGGGGATAATAATGTTGAACTACTTATTATCAACGTGTGTGTTCCTTCCTCTTCCCCTAAATCCCTAATTACTGTGGAGAATCTCTGCCTTAGACCCCAGAGGAGCCCCTGTTCCTGTTATTTAGCCCACACTCCAAGGTCCTGCTGCAGCTGTGTGCACATAAACAGGCTGAATGTGAGGGAGTGCATGGCGACAGGCACTGCGGTCTGGGAGCATCTGCTCTCCTCTCTGTGTGCCTTGGACGTGATTTGGGAGGATGACCAAAAGCACAAGGCTATGTACATCTTCGGGTATCAGCGTTTTGCAAGATACATTCCTGGGGTAATCTCCACCCCCCTTTTCCATCTGTTCGGAGAAGGTGCATTCTCAGCATCAAGGGGCAGAATTCTGGTGGCTAAGCCTTCACCTTTCCAAGGAGAGCTATAGTTATCTCTTCCCTGTGGTCAGCTCCTGCTGATGTAGCAAACATTAGAACTTCTTCAAAACATCAAAGTTTAGGAGACGCCATGAAACACTGAGAAGTAAAACAATACAAAATGAGAGTGCCTGCTTTATTTTGCTAGCACCTGAAATCAAAGCTTCATTGATCTGTCTCAAAAGTTCCAGAGATATATTTTATCTGATTAGAGTTTTTGTTTTGTAATGCATTTTTCCAGAACACTGACAAGTTACTGGGCTGAGAGAGTTTGCACGGCAGAGGGTTGGAGGGGAAGCCTTTCAGAATGAAATCATTTTCTTTCTCGAAGCCAAGGTACTCTTCCCAACAAAATGGTTTGCTTGCCTAGTAAAGAAAATACAATTTTTGTTGCAAACCAGCCTGATTTTTTTTTTTTTAAAAAAAGGAAGACTGGAAGATAGAGGTCATTTAGCTACAAGATACTGAGCTCAGAGGGGAACGTGATGAACAATTGGCTCCTACTGTAAGAAATGGGATTGTATATATTTTAATTCCAATTCTACACTGAAGTCAAATGTTGGGCGCCCATTTGTGAAACTTGGAAGAAAATCCCAATAAGTTCAAGGTGAAGAAGTTAAATGAGCAATCAGTGGTCTTTACCCTTCAAAGATGGACTAAATGAAACTGTTAGAAAGCAACAAATGATACAAGTAGAGTAACTTGTTAGTTTACTTGTGTTTATCTTTCTGGGTCTGACGCATAAAGGACAATTTTAAATACAGGAGAGCAAATAAAGTAGGTGCTTTGTTTTGCAGCAGAGTTAAAATGTAAATCACCTGTAATCCCAGCACTTTGGGAGGCCAACGCAGGCAGATCACTTGAGCCCAGGAGTCTGAGAACAGCCTGGGCAACATGGCAAAACCCTGTCTTTACAAATAATAAAAAAAAATTAGCCGGACATGGTGCTGCATGCCTGTGGTACCAGCTACTTGGGAGGCTGAAGTGGGAGGATTGCTTGAGCCCAGGTGGTTGAGCTATGATCACTGCACTCCAGCCTGGGAGACAGAGCAAGAACCTGTCTCAAAAAAAAAAAAAAAAAAAAAAAAAGGAAAGAACCAAAAAACGAAAAACAGGCTGGGGGTGGTGGCTCACGCCTGTAATCCCAGCATTTTGGAAGGCCAAGGCGGGTGGATCCCTTGAGGTCTGGAGTTCGTGACCAGCCTGGCCAACATGGTGAAACCCCATCTCTAATAAAAACATACAAATTAGCTGGGTGTGGTGGTGTGCGCTTGTAGTCCCAGCTAGCCGGGAGGCTGAGGCAGGAGAATTGCTTGAACATGGGTAGCGGAGGTTGCAGTGAGCCGAGACTGCACCACTGCACTCCAGCCTAGGCAACAGAGCAAGACTCTGTCTCCAAAAAAAAAAAAAAAAAAAAAAAAGGTAGATCAGTTTAATAATTTAATGGAACTTAATATTTCTGTTACACTGGGGTAAAAATAAAAGTTTGCTTTTTAAAAATTCTTAAGTGATGTCACTAAGTCAAGTTTTAAAACATACAATTCATTTTAAGATTGATACTTAAAGTTCAAATGAACTTTTTCTGTTATTTGAATGTGGTTTTTAAAGTGCCAAGAAGTTATTTGTTTTTTAAAGTAAATAAGAGATTTGGATTGGTGCCTTGGAAAAGCAAGTAGAAACATGCTTTTGGACCAGAGGTTGGTTCAGCAACACTGAGTAGAACTACGGGCTGGGTACTATGTAGGCACCGGGAGTAACACACAACCCTGTAACTGTAGGAGCTCACACTTTAGCAGGGCAGACAAACGGATAACAGATACACACCCTTCCAGTTATAGACACATACTATATGCACACAGATGGAAGAGAAGTGTGCACAAGCAGAAGTGGTTAAGTTTTGCCACAAAGGTTTCACAGAGGAGGGGTCATTGAGCAGGGTTTTTAAGTATGAATAGGAGTTTACCAGGTGAAAAATAATGGTGGAATGGGGATAATCCAGGCAGAAAGAAGAGCATGTGGGATGGAATGGGATGGAAGTGAGGAAGCGCATGGCGTGAATGAAATAACACGAGTCTCGTGGCCGGGCGCGGTGGCTCAAGCCTGTAATCCCAGCACTTTGGGAGGCCGAGACGGGCGGATCACGAGGTCAGGAGATCGAGACCATCCTGGCTAACCCGGTGAAATCCCGTCTCTACTAAAAAAATACAAAAAACTAGCCGGGCGAGGTGGCGGGTGCCTGTAATCCCAGCTACTCGGGAGGCTGATGCAGGAGAATG